GCAGCCGATCTGGGGTTCGATCACCCCAGCACCCCTTATGGTCCCCTGAGCACCCACAAGAGTAATTCCGGAGTGCAGAGCCAGGAGTAAGCCCTGAGCATCACCAAGTTGGCAAGAAAGGAAGTTGGGGCACTCTGAGCCGAAGTCCCCATATCTGGGTGCTCTGGGAGGGAGAGGGATAGATGTAGGCAGGTAGATAGGGAAAGGCCCTTGGCAATGAAACTTGGATTAACAAAGTTTCACCTAAGAAGAATTCTAGGACTGACCCACCTTGTGGATACAAAAAACAAAGACCTGATAAGACCATCGCAGACCCGCAGACCCTGAGGATATAGGCCCCCTCGCCATGAAGTTCCTCAAACCCTAGGACCTCTCCCTTAATCTGATTAAAATGTGATCCAGCCCAAAGAAGACCACTCCCATCCTCCCTGGTAACCTTAGCAACGGACTTTTACCTAGGAAGAAGCCCCACGTGAGGGCAGGTTGGAGAAACCCTATAAAGGCCACCTTGAACAAAGGAAGGGCGCACATATGCTGCCGGAGCCCATGTGTGCTTGCGCCCACGTGGCCAAGCACAGGTGTCGCCCGCATCTCCCCTCTTGAGATGTGTACTTTCATGCTTTCATGTCTAATGCTAGGATGTGTGTAAGGACTCTCTCTCCATCCTTGGAGAAGCCTGTGTTCTCTCTCTCTCTCTCTCTCTCTCTCTCTCTCTCTCTCTCTCTCTCTCTCTCTCTCTCTCTTCCCCTCCACACCTTAAAAACCTTTATTTCACCGCTCGTCTACTCCTGAAATTCCTTTCTGTGAGGCGAAACAAGAACCCAGTAACCCTGGGTCTCTGGTGGCAGTGGCGGTTGGGGAGAAAGTGACCGTCTTTCTCCTCCCCACTTCACATCAGTCACCCATGGGGCCCACTGACATCAGGATCAAGTGACTTGCAGCCCAGGGTGACCAGTTGCTCCATCGCATGTCCCAGGCCAGCTGGGAGCAGGACTTGGGGTGGGCTTTGAGGTTGCATCCCAGGGTTCTCCCTGGGCACTTGGACCCCTCCCCCTGGGGAGGGCCAAGCAGGTGTTTCATTGAGCTCACTGAGGCCCCACCCGTCTCTGCCTAGGACCCTCTAGGATGCTCACACCTCCCAGGCACTAAGGACTTTGGAGCTCTTACCTTCCAGAGTTCTGGGAATGCAAGGAAAATGGGGACCAGGCTCCACATCTTCCCCAGCATCCAAAGAAAACTCCAGAGTTGTAGGGAACTGTCCCCGCCCACTGCAAATCAAGGGTACCTGACCCAGGGACCCACCAGCAGCTGCCAACCTGGGCACTGAAGCAGACCTTCTGCCAGTGTTTCAACTGGGAGCCACTTAGCTTCCAGTGCACCCCTAGTATTCCAAGGGGCCACCGGTAAAAAACGTGTCATTACCTAAGATGAGGTGCCAACCGGTGGGACGGGGGGGGGGGGGGGCAGGAAGGAAACAGGTAGGAAGAGCACCAACATGAGGGACAGGCTGTGAATCACTATCCTACATGAGGGCCTTCTGCACTGACAGCTGGGAGGGGCAGGCCGCCCAGGCGTCCCCTCTGAGCTGGGAGAAAGATTCAATCCGCAACACAGTGCTGCTGTTCCACTTGTATGAGTCCTGTGGGCCCCCTCCAAATGAGCTCCCTTGGGGAAGAGCAGCTCTCCTCCTTCTGCAGATCCCTGGATGCTAAGCAACTTGTGGGAATAAATGAGCCACTGCTTCTAGAATTCACTGACAGCCCGATGGCTCAGGCTCAGCTCTGTGGTCCCCTGAGGGTGGGAACTGAAGACAGGAATAGAGCAAGAAGCGATTTCCCAGAGATCCCAGACACTAGCAGAGAACCTGGGCCAAAGGGGGGGAGTGGGGGCGGGGAGGGCAGAGGGACAGGAAAAAGCAGACTCTCATTTGTGAATTTCCTTCTATGTTCAAACTGGAAAATGCAGAACTAAAAGAGGAAAGCAGAGGAGAACTGAGCTAGGGGCCAGGGACGTGCGGGAGAAACCAGGCATCAGGCCTGAAAACCTGTGCATTCCCCTCTACCTTCCTAAAGTTCGGGGGTTTGCAAATTTCCTCTTCTCGTGATGCCTTTTTACCCAGGAAATGCAACACATGTGAGCACTGTCAGAGACTCCTTGGATAAATGTTGTGGTTGGTTTTGAATTAATGTTTGGTCATAGCTCGCTCAAAAATCTTTCTACTACTGCCAAATGTTTCCTGATTCAGTTCCCCACATTCAGTGATATAACCCCCTGTGGGGCCAGAGAGACATACAGGAATTAAGGTTCTTGCTTTGCATGCAGTTAATCTCTGTTTGATCCACAACACAGCATGGTCCTCCAAATAGCACCAGCTGTGGCACAAACACACACACTCACAATGTGTGTGTGTGTGTGTGTGTGTGTGTGTGTGTACATGAGCTCTGCAGAATTCCAGGACACATAGCAAGCACCCAGTGTCTTCCACTCTCCGGAATCCACACAGACTATGAGCTCAGGCAAAGCTAGTCATTGCTTCTGCCTCTCGCCCACTGTTCTTCCTCTCTGACTGGGAAGACCACACCCACCATCACCCCAGATTCCGCTATCTCTGGTCACCTACAAGAGCACCCATGTCCCTGGCGTCCCTTTCTGCCCCACTGCAGCCTGATGTCCCCTCTTGCTTCTCCCCTGCAGGTCTGTCTGTTTCCAGCACAGGCCTCAGATACATCCTCATCACAGCCCAGGCAGCCTGGCCTCCGCTGTTGACCTCCTTCCCCTCCAGCTCATGGGCAGAGGCCAGGCAGAATTCAAAAACCCCAAGGCCCAGTGCCTACTGACCTCTTTGAGTACAGCCCCCAGAGCACCTTTGCCAGGAAAGGGCATAAGTGTGCCAGACTTCAGTACTGCTTCCTCTGCCCACCTCTTGTCCAGAGCAAACCCTAACCAAGCTTCCAGATTCTACTCAAACCCATCTCGCCTGAATGGGCTGAGTCCTCTGCAGGGCACCTGCCTCCCACATGGTTACTCAGAGTCCTGGAGTGCTGGCCTGCTGGCTGGGGCCCCCTTACACGTCTACCTGGTACACTGTAAGTGCTCAGAAGTGTTTGCTTAACGCATCAACTCAGAGGTGGAGGCCTGATCCCCTGGGAGGCAAGGGCCCAGCACCCCGCTGGCAGGAAGGGTCGGCTTCAGGTCACCAATCATAGGGTGGACACCCCAGACTCTAGCCCAATGGGCCTGGCCTTCTTGCCCCTCCAGTAAAAGGTTTGAATGTCTGTTGTGTTCTACATCCCCCCCACACACACAAAAACACTCTATACACACACCACAGACACTCTACACACTCACACCAGCCACGCTATATCATACGTCACAGGCACTCTCTACACACACACACACACACACACACACACACACACACACACATATACACACACACACACACAACTAGACTCACACGCCACAGGCACTCTAAACACACACACACACACACACAACTAGACTCACACGCCACAGGCACTCTAAACACACACACACACACCATGGACACACTCCATACACCCACAGAAACACTCATATACCACAGGCACACTATTGCACATATTACAGTCTACATACTATACACTCTACACATACTATACACACACATAACACACATAGACACATGTGCTTTGGGCAAGAACACTCAGGTAAAGAATTTAGGGGCTCCGGTCCCCAGAGGGACTGAATGTCTGTGTGGAGAGAGCTGTTTTGCTGGTTTGTGAGCACTGTGTGAGACAGGAGATAATGACAGCAGCGACAGCTGTCAGGAGTCCACATGCGGCCAGCTGGTGGTCACCGGCCAACTTTCTCCTGGACTCTCTGGCACTGAGTGGGCTGTTATCGTCCTCTCGGCCCCTCCTCTCTTGCCCCAAAGCTGAGGCTGGGGCTCCTTAGTTGTGGCAGAGCATGAAACAGCCCTCAAACAGTGCCTTGGCGACACCTTCCCACCACCCCACTGCCCTGCCCAGCTTCCCTCTCGCCATTGTGCTACTCGGGGAAACAGGCCTGAGCTCAGCACTGACAGGGCGGGCGCCTGGCATCAGGGAGCGGCACATCCCAGCTCCCTGCTGAGCAAACAGGGTGGTGGGGACGGGCCCGGCTCCCCCCCAGGCCTTGTGTGGCCTGCAGCGGGCGGCGGGAACAAAGAAGCAGGCTCAGAGGCGGCCGTCAGGACAGGACGGCAGTTTATAGATGGCAAAATACTTCTCCTGGGGGAGGACAGACAGACGGACAGACGGGCACAGGACACCAGACAGGGAGGGCAGAGAGGTTGGGCAGTGGCGTCTTCTAACCAGTGAGTGGAAGCGGCACCCAGCCCTCCGGGCGGGAGGTGGGATGACGTTGGCACAGGAGGTGACGACAGACGTGGGGCCGTCCCTGAGGCGGGCAGCGGCAGGGCCCACCCTCGTTGGCACAGTTGGCGCTCTGGCCCAGCAGGGGTGCTGGGGAGGGGCAGGGCTGCTGGGCTATGGGTTGTGAGGCCTCGGCCTCTCCCCAGGGAGTGGGTGTAGGGGACGGGATGGCAAGAGGCAAATACAGCGCAGCAGCAGCGGAGCAGCGAGCAGCCAACCCCCAAGGGGAGTGCTGAGGCCCCAAGGCTCCCCTCAATGGTTGGCATCTCTTGGGCCCCTACCCCAGGGCCTCTCCTCAGGGGCCTCACGGGGAGAGTGAAGGAGCAGGTTTTGTTTTTTTGGTTTCAAAATGAAGCAAACCAGCATGTTCCGACAGCTCCACACCCAGGTGATGGGGATTAGGGGGTTGGGGGGCGCTCAGACCGAGGGGCCCCCTCTTCTGATGGCAGCAGGCAGAGAATGTCATAGGCAAAGCTCATTCCTGGGGGAAGGCTAGGGCGAGGCATGGGCGGGGTGGGGTGGGGTGGGAAGCAGCATCTCTCCGGCCCACTCCTTGGGGATCTAACTGGGGATCAAGCAGAGGACCCTCTAGTCCAGTTTCCCCAGGGCTCCGTGCTGTAGCTGTCACCTATATTTGGTGCTTCCAGGAAGCTGGAGGGAGGGTGAGCACAAGGAGGGGCACCCGATCTGGGATTCAGGGAAGTGAGCCCACATGGGGAAGATTCTGGAATCTCCTCCTCCAGGAAAAGCCCCCCTGAGGCTGTGCAAACACTCCGGGCTGGGAAAAGAATGAGTGACTGCAGTCAGGGGCCTAAATTAGCTCCTGGGCTAGAAAGAGTTCAGGAAGTGCACCTTTTCTTGGGAGAAGGCCCCCTGAGATGGGGGAAGTGGGGGGAAAGGGGCGGCAGAAAAGGGAGCCCCCATCCACTCACAGCACGTAAGTTGAAACCTACAGCTGGGGCTTCAGGGACATGCCCGCCCGGGAGCTGGGGTGCTACCCCCTTGGCAAAAAACCCCAACATGGATCCAAGGCAGCTGAGAGGACACAGCGGTCCCCGGAGGCAGGAAACATGCCGGGTGCTGAGCCCCTCAGCGCCTCCCTGGCCCTGACCCAAGCTCTTTCTCCCACCACGCGGTCCCGAAAGCTCAGCGGATGTAGACCCCCCGGCCCCAGCCCTCCAATTCATTCTTGTTTCGCCCCAGAACCGGTGCCCCGCCCTCCCCGCAGTAGCGGGCCTTATCCCGGCCGCGGTTCCGGTTGTCTGTCATCTCCTCTTCGTAGTCTTCCTCCTCCTCCTCCCACGATCCCTGGCGTGCTGGTGGGGGGCTGCCCCCTGCAGGGTCTCCGGGCCCCGGCCCCTCTGAGGGGTCCGTCTCCATGTCCACACACGAGTCTCCTGGCTCCGTGTAGGAAGAGTTTCGGTTGCCAGGGGTGTCGGCATCAAAGGTGTCTTGGCGGGACAGGGCCCGCAAGGTGCCCACCCGGCCTGGTGGGTGGCCGCCGGGGTAAAGGCCTGGGGGCTGGCCCAGCTCCCCAGGGTACTCGTGCACGCTGGCGTGCTCCCCACTGGCCCGTTCCAGCGATGGGTCCCCGGAAGCAAGGTAGGGTCCCTGGTTAGCAGACAGGTGGCACACCATGCAGGTAGGCGGGGTGAGAGAAACACAACAAAGCAAGGCAGTTAGTGAGGGCACCCAGACCCCCGCCTGGCCGCGGCAGGAGGGCGCTGGCTCTAGGGGGGGCAGCCAGGCGCCAGACCTCAGGGCCTCTGAGACCAAGGCTTCCCCCCAACCCTCCTACATGTGGGAGGGTGGTCTTTCCTGGTGACCATGGAGAGAGCCCAGAGACCATCACTTATCACTTATTCCATGCATGGCACCTACGCTGCGGGGAACTCAGTGCTCACAGCTCATTAGTTCAGCCAGTGGTTAGCAGGCTGGGGTTAGTAACTGTACTCCCGACTTCTAGGATGGGGAACAATCCAGTTGGCTAATCTGAACTCGCAGCCTGCGCCCCTTCCCCAGGCAGAAGGTGCTCCCCAAGGTGGGGAGGGGGGTACCTCAGGCCTGATGAAAGGCAGCAGGCTAGGCAGGCTGATGGGCTGCTCTGCACTTTTAGAGGCAATGAGGCAGCCCAATGTCCCCAACAAATGTCACCTGAGGGGTCTGAATGATAGTACAGCGGGTAGAGTGCTTGCCTTGCATATGGCCATCCTGGGTACGATCCCCAGCACCCCATATGGTCCCCCCACGCCAGCCAGGAGTGATCCCTGAGAGTAGAGCCAGGAGTAACCCCTGAGTATCAGCCGGTATAGTTCAAAATTTTTTAAAAATGTGACCTGCAGGTGCCTCAGAGATGTGGTGACTGCAGGAGGGTTTGATCCTTGCTCCTGTCACTTCCGTGTGACCCTGTGACCTGGAGCAAAGGTCTCTCCCTCTCGCTGTAGCTTCATTTCTCTGAGTGGTGTGATACGGATTAGACTAGAGTGGCAATGTCCTAATTGTCCCCTAGAGATGGGAGGCTTAGCTAGGGAAGGCCGAGAAGTGTTTCTGGAGTCCCCGTGGCACTGGAGTGAACAGAAAACATGGGCCTAGCCTTCTCTGAGCAGAGCAAGGAGCCGGATTTACAAGCTGCAGATTCAGTGGGATTCAGTGGGCTGGGTCGGAAACAGAGCTCAGGGGTTAAGGTACAGGCCTTGCTTGCATGTGGCCGATACCTCTGAGTACCACCAGAAGGAACCCCCAGTATCAATGGACGTGACTCAACCCTCCATGACCCCCACCCCTACCAAAAATATTCAGGGGGCTCTGTAGAGAGGCAATGTGTAAAGTGAAGATCGAGAATAATTTCAGGGTTGTTTTTTTTTTGGAGTCAATCTAGTGCCAGATAGGTAATGGCATGAGAATGATGGAAGGTGAGCACCAACTCAGAAGACGTCCATTCTGAGGGGCCTCACAGGGACGGGGCTCTAGGGAGGGATGCACTCTGGAGCAACAGCCCCTGCTCTGTGGGGTACGCTGAGTCTGAGGGCCCCTGCTCTGTGGTACCCAGCAAATGGCTATGTGACACTTGTTCCTGGTGTTTCCCAACTGGCCACTGAGCAAGCCTCCTCTCCAGAAAGTCCCTACTCCAGAGGCTCAAGGAGGCCCCACCAGTGAGTCCCAATCCCACCAAAAACCACAGACACCAAAAGCTGCCGCTCACCACATTTTTTACAAAATAAAAGCTCTCCCCTTCCTTTCCCTTGTTCCCTGCACTCCAATTCTGCATTCTGGGCAGAGGGAACAAGAGCGGGCCACCTACATGGCGTGCTCCTGCTGCTGGGGCACTGCCCCATCCTGCTGCGAGGCCTCCAGCCCGCCCCAGAAGCTGAGATTCCTCCGGAGGGAGGTGAGCACCTGTACCTGGAGGTTGGAGACTGGGGCAGGGCTGGCAGCCAGGGCTGCGGAAGCCATGGTGCGGTTCAGCAGTGGATTGGGCGGGGTGCTGCTGGGCGGGTGTGTGGCCTTCCAATAGGCTTCCAAGTACTCAGCCAAGTGCTCGCAGGCATCTTCTAATTGGTTCTCATCCAGGATGATGTCGAACATTTCCTGTGGAGGTGGGGTTAGGGGCAGGGCCAGGGTGAACAAGGCTTGGTCAAGGGGAGGGGTTGTGGCCTGGGTGCACGTGGGTGGAGTCAAGGGATCGAAGGGGCCAAGTTAAAGAGATCTCAAAAAAATAAAAAATGATAAATAATTTTAAAAAAGAGTGAGATTTCAGGGTGAACAGGAAGAGAAGCCTCTCAAATGTAAACAAGCGTACCCAAAACTATCCAACTCCCTCGTCTAAGAGAAGGCATCCAAAGCCTGGAGATGGGCTTCTGGGGCTTGGACCCCATCTCTGGCTCCTGCTCTTTCCGAGCAGACCAACCACGAGAACCAACCACCAACCGTGCCCCGCTGCTCCCAGCCTGCACACTCACAGGGGGACACTGCGCCAGCTTCTCCGAGGCCGCTATCTGCACATTGAGGTGTTTGGACTGAGACTTCCCTCGAGACTTGATAAGTCGCTGCAGGACCTGGTGTGGAGGGGAGAAGAGGGGCTACAGGTGGCCTGCACCGCGCAGCAACCCCCAGAGGCAGAACCCAGCAGGGGGCGGGGGCTGGTGAGGGCCTGGGTGAGAGCCGAGCAGGGGCCTTCAATGCCTCTCAGCCTTGTCACCTGCTGTCACTAAGCCCAGTGACCCCACCAGCCGTGTCCATGTCACTGTACTCCAGCTCTCTCCTGGGTCTGCTTCCAAATTCTCCGGGGAAACTCCCTCCCTGGCTGCCTGAAGAGCAGAGACTCCTGCTCAGCCCCTCTTCCCACCATATTCACTGGCTTCATTCTCCAGCTCAAACCCCCTCACCCCACATTCGTAGCCACTTTGATGGAGCCAGAGCTCCGTGCTGACACCAGTTCAGTAATCTGGTACTAACAGCTCACTTGGTCCTGACCGCAATCCTATTAGTAGTTACTATTGTTATGCTCACCACAATAATCATAGTGACAGCCATGACAGTAGCTGACACAGGGACAGAGAGAGCTCGACAGACTGAGTGCATGCTTTGCACACAGGAGCACCAGGTATGATTTCTGTCACCACAAGTTTCCCCAGCATAGAGCTCTCTGAGCACAGTGCCCGCAGGAGTAGCCTCCAGCACTGCTGGGTGTGGTCCCCAAACTACCACTACCAAAATAGCTAAAACATAAAGACAGAAGCAGAACTGAGTGACCAAAACTAACACTACCTGGGGAGATAGTACAGCAGGGAGGATGTTCACCTTACACACAGTTGATCTGAGTTTGATCCCCCACATCTCATCAGGTCCCCTGAGCACCACCAGGAGTAATTCCTGGATTCAGAGCCTGGAGTAATCTCTGAACACCACCAGATGTGGCCCAAACACACACACATACACACACATACATACATACATACATATATATATATATATATATATATAAACACCTCCAGTGATACTAGGGCCGGTTTAGCCGTAGAGTATTAGCCTTGCATGTGTGAAGCCCTGGATTGTTCTCTCCCTAGTACTATAAAAAAAAAAAGAAAACAAAAGTGTGTGTGTGTGTGTGAGTGTGTGTGTGGTGGGGTGAGCCAGAGAGATGGCTCCAAGGGCTGCTAGAGTGTATGCTTTGTATATGCAAGCCCAAGTTCTTGTTCTTTTCTTTCTTTTTTTTTTTTTTGGTTTTTGGGTCACACCTGGAGATACTCAGGGCTTACTCCTGGCTCTGCACTAAGGAATTACTCCTGGCAGTGCTCAGAGGACTGCATGGAGTGCTGGGATCAAACCTGGGTCGAGGGGCTTGGAGCAATAGCACAGCGGGTAGGGCGCCTTGCACGCGGCCGACCTGAGTTCGATTCCCAGCATCCCATATGGTCCCCTGAGCGCCGCCAGGAGTAATTCCTGAGTTCAGAGCTAGGAATAACCCCTGTGCATTGCCGGGTGTGACCCAAAAAGCAAAAAAAGACAACAAAACAAACAAACAAAAAAAAACCTGGGTCGAGACTGCTTGCTGTACTCTCTCTCCTCCAGCCCTTAGAGTACAAATTCAGTCCCCGGCAAGCCCAGTCCCCTCTTTTCCCAGCATTGTCAAGAGTTACCACCCTAAGCACTGCCAGGTATGACCCATACACAAACAAATAAAAAATGGCAGTGTCATGAAAATGCAAGAAAGGCTGAGGAACTGTTCCACCTTAATAATAACACAGCATGCTGGCTGCTGGGCCAAGGGACTGTCACAAAGGCCAGCACTGGCACTAACAATGACAATGGAGGAACCGGAGCAATAGTACAGCTAGTAGGGCATTTTCCTCACATGCAGCCAACCAGGGTCAATCCCCACATCCCATATGGTCCCCTGAGCCATCACCAGGAATGATTCCTGAGTGCAGAGCCAGGCGTAAGCCCTGAGCATTGTCAGGGGTGGCCCAAACACCAAAAACAAACAAAAACCAGAAACACAAGTGTACAAGGGTTAATTAAGGTGCTTGCCTTGCATGTGACTAGCCCAGGATTGATCCCTGACACTACATATGGTCACTCACCCCTGCCGAGAGTAACCCCTGAGCACAGAGGCAGGAGTAAGCCATGAGCACTGCTGGATGTGGTCCCAAGACAAAAACAAACAAACAAACAAACAAAAAAAAAGGATTAATGGCCTTGATTCAGAGACACAGCAGTGAATTCCGAAAAACAGCAACTTGAAGATCTCTCTGGATCCTGTACTGAGTCAATTTCACTGAGGCACCTCAGATGGAGTGGGTGTCCCACGCCTGCCCACTCCAGATGAAACCCCATTGAGCACAAGCTTTCAGAAGCAAAACCCAGATACGCGGGTTCAAGGACTAGGACTCCAGGCCACATGGCAGCAATGGAGATGGGCTGTCCCTTCCTGTCTCCCCACCCACTTGGGGTCCTGGCTGTCATGCCCATGATCTGCCTTGGGCACCATCTCAGCATATCAACAGCCCTGATCCAGAGACTTCCAAATGAATCTCAAAATGGATTAGCTCCCTACAGAGATGTCTCTGGACCCCAGCCATTTACAATTTGAGAATTCCAGAAGCATGCAACTGCTTTCACGGCCGCATGACCTCTTATGATTTTCACTGTAAGCAATAGAAAATAAATTATCTAGCATCTGCCCCTGGCAGGCAGGCTTGAATGGTGGTGGAAAAATTCAAAATAATGGTGGTGGGAAGGTGTAATGGTTGTGGGATTAGTGTTGAAATACTGGATGTAGTCAAATAATGTGAACAACCTTATGAAAATAAAATTTAAAAAATGTTTTAAAATTTTTTAAAAAAGAAAAAGAGCAAAAAAAGAAAACATATATGTTGAAGGATGGAACTGCAGTGTGAGGGGTTACGCTCGAGGCCCTGGACTTGCTCTCTTGCTCTCTAGCACCACTACAATACATGCAGATTGAAATATTTAAGGATAAATGTCTACAATATCAACAACTTTCTCTCAAAGTATGCAGGAACAAAAACACATATTCATACACATATCTTTGTCATGTTCACATAGAGAAAGTAAATGTAGTAAAATTAGTGAATCTGAAAAAAACTGGAATTGTATATTTTAAATGACTGAATCAAACGATACGTGAACTGTGTCTCAGTGAAGCTATCAAACCATTGGTGAATCTGAGTGCAAGATTTATATTAGTCTTACAATGCTTCATTTCAGAAAATTTGAAATGATTTCAAATAAAAATCTTTGAAAAAAGAAGGGGGGGCCAGAGCGATAGCAACCTAGGTTCGATCCTGGCATCCCATATGGTCTCCCAAGCTCTGCTAAGAGGAATTCCTGAGTGCAGAGCCAGGAGTAATTCCTGAGCACTACATGTGACCCAAAAGCAAACAAAGAAAAGAGAGACTAGAAAGATAGCACAGTGGGTAAGGCACTTGCTCCTCTAAGCACAAACCCCGGAGTTAAGCCTGAGTGAGTTTGTCACAAGAAAAAGAATTAAAAAAAAAAAAAGCCAGCTAGATGCAAAAAAAACACTCTAGTGCCCTAGGCCAGGACCCAGTTCACACCAGCATCTCCTCTAGGCTCATTAGAAACATCAGACTCAGAAAGGTTAGCAAGAGGCCCAGGGGCTCACTGGCATGAGGGGTTGCTGCCACCATCCCTAATTATCACCAAGAGTCAGAAAGAACGCTGACTCCTTACATCATTCCGTCTAATCTTCTCAAGAATATCACAAGAACAGAAGCCAGAGAGACAGCACTGCACGTAGGGCGCTTGCTTTGCATATAGCCAACCTGGGCTCAAGCCCCACCCTCCCAGATGGTCCCCCAAGCCCCGCCAGGAGTAAATCCTGAGCACTGCCGGGTTTGGCCCAATATCTAAAAAATGAGTATCACAGAGATATAATGCCCTTTTAAAGGTGTGAGGGAACATCTAGCAATGCTCAAGGACCACTCCCCGCTTGCTGTTCAGGGGTTGCTCCTCGTGGTGCTCCGGGAACCATGTGATGCTAGGATTTGAACCTTGGCCAGCCACATGCAAAGCACCTTCTCCTGTCTGTTCAATTCTCTCTCTCATGCCCCCTTTGCTATTTTATTAAGTAAAAAAAAAACAAAGCTCAGAAGCTAAATAATGCCCTCAATATCCCAAGCTTAATAACAACAACAACAACAACAACAAAATACAGGGACCAAGAAGATTAAAAAAACAAAGTTTATTATCTCCTTGCATGCAGCTGACCATAATCAATCCCAGACATCACTTGGTCCAAGTACCAACAGGAGCAACACCCAAGTACCTCCAAGTGTGGTCCAAAACTCCAGATACCCCCATCAAAAAATAGGGTTGCAAATATAGTACAGGGGTTAAGGGCTGGAGCGACAGTACAACAGGTAGGGTATTTGCCTTGCACGCAGCTGACCCAGGTTCAATCCCCGGCACCCCATATGACCTCCCAAGCACCATCAGGAGTTATTCCTGAGTACAGAGCAAGGAGTAAGCCCTGAGCATCGCCGGGTGTGACCCAGAAAGCCTAGGTAAATGCTAAGCTAAGAATTTGCAGGGAGGAGGCCCAGGTCCATTCTCAGCATCAAAGGGTCCCCCAGCAATGTTAAGAGCAGTCCTCAAACACCTCAGGGTATGTCCTAAAACAGCCCCCAAAATAGGAGTAAGTCAGGGACCAGAGATGTGGTACAGAGAATAAGGAGCTTGCCTTGCACACATTGACCAGGGTTCAATCCTGCCACTCCATGTGGTTCCCTGAGCCTACCAGGAGTGATCCTTAAGCACTGAGCCAGGAGTAAGCCCTGAGCACTGGCGGTGTGGTCAAAAAACAAAATAGGAGTAAACTAGCCCCCCTCCCCGGCCCCCGATTCTTTGCCACAGCCCAGGTGAGAACAGCGCAGGAATGAAAAGAAGATAGACACAACATCCTGGCCGGTGACACAGGCACAAGAAATCACATTTTTCTTGGCAGAGTTCAGAGGACCATGGAGTGGTCCAGGGATTAAAGCCAGATCAGCTGCCTGCAAAGCAAGTGCCTTACACAGCACTTGTACTACAGGGCAAGTGCCTTTGGTCCCTCTGGTCCCTTACTTACTTGGGAGGATGCCATAACCAGCTTACATAACCAGGGCTTACTCCTAGCTCTGTGCTCAGGGATCACTCCTGGCAGTGCTGAAGGGACCACAGGTGTGCCAGGGATTGAAGGCTGTGAGTGAAGCAAGTGCCTTAAGACTAGACTGTCAGTCTCTGACCCCAGAACCCCAGGATGAAAGACAGGCAGAGAGGAGGCCAGTGATGGAGCAGGTCCCCCTGGCACTCATGCTTGTAATAATGACCACATGACAGAGTACAATCAACCATGGACATGACTGAGGGCTCGGCTGCACAGCTGGCTTCTTCCCAGCACCCTCAGGGCAGAGCAGGGCTGGAAGGAATGCGGTGCTCCTGGCACTATCAGCAAGCAGCAGTCGACTTTCCGCACACATAGTCCCCCCAGAGCACTCCCCTCCCCACAAAGTGCTGGCCCTGGCACTCACCTTGGGAGAGGTGATCTTGATGTAAACGATGATGGGGGCCAGCGAGGTCTTGGAGAGCTGGGCAGGGTGGTTGATGGTGTCAGCGTCCAGAGCCACCAGCTGAAGGGTCCGCGCCAGCTCAAAGATCCGCTCGATCTCACTCTGGACCTCCGCTGGGGAACAGGGAATGTAAGAGACCTCCCCAGATGCATCGAGGACAGGGGCACGCCCACCTCCCAGCCTGTCCCCGGGGCTCACCCAGGCTGGAGCGGGTGTTGGAGCGCTCGATGATGACGTGCTTGCTGGGATTGTTGAGCACCGAGCGCTTAGCCAGGGAGATGTCTGCCGTCACACGAGTGATGGAGATCCTGCAGGAGGGCCGGGAGCGGGGTCAGGCCCCTTCCCAGCCCTCAGAGTCCCAGCCGGGCAGCAAAGGCCCCCAATACCCACCTGCCGTCGAACCGATGCTTCAGGAAGTCAAACAGAGCCTTCTGCATCATGTCTGTCACCTGGGCGTGGGGGACAGTCAGGCCTCCAACTCCTAGGGCTGGGAGTGCTGCCCCCCACCCTCACACCCCTTCTCCCCAAACTCCTGGGATGAAGCCATCACTTCTTGAGGGTGGGGTGGGGGATAGGAGATTCCTTCCAGGTAAGACCAGAGCCCCCAAAGAGGTCTCTGGTTCCAAAAGTCTTTCCAAGGAGAATCCGGGAAGTAGGGGAAATGCTGGGGACCCTCTGGATTGGGGTCGCTATGGGCCAGGCCCTATGTGGGGGATTCTTTGCACATCTGGAAGCCTCCAGGGTGTCCCCCTGGGAACCTGGATCTGAAGGGGTGGGGGGCTCTTCAGGGCGGCTCCCTGGAGACGGGGCCCTCCAGACCGCTGCCTCTCGGGCTCCTACCTCATAGCCCTTGAGCGACGGTCCCACCAGGATGATGGGCCTCATGGAAGGCACCACGTCATAGGGGGGCACGTGCTCTGTCTGGGGGGGAAGCAGGGAGGGGAAATGCCCGAGTGGAGAGAGCATCAGCCCCTCTCCCCCGCCTTCAGGCTTCCCCATGCAGCGTCTCCTCCCCTGGCCCCGGAGGAGGGGGTGGGAGTGGGGGGATGCAGGGAGCACAGGAAGGAGGGGGGTGGGGGGTGTTAGAAGGTCCCCTTAGCTCATCCCGGTGGGGGGGGAGGAGGACACAGAAAGCTGTGATACTCACCGACTTTTGCTTCTGTTTGGCTGGGTCCAGAGATTGCCAAGAGGGGGGACAGGGAGGAGAGAGGGGAGGGGACCCACGCGGGGCAGGGGGCAAGGAAGGAGCCAGGACAAGAGAGGGAGGGGGAGCGGGCCGGACGAGGAGAGATAACAGGCATGCGTGTTAGTGACAGACAGAGCCGGGGGTGGGGGACCCCATGCCATGGGGCACTCAGAGGTGGGTGGCATGGGATGCGGGACTGGCTGTCTGCCCAGTGGTCTTGGGGACATTCCATGAGCGCCTACCCCGCAGTGGGGGCACGGGAAGGAGCAGGAAGGCTGCCGGCTCCTTATTTGGTGCCCAGCTCCTGCCCCAGGATATGCCACGCTGCCCATCTTAAGAGTTCCCATAACTGCCTTGTTCTGTAGCCAGGAGACCCCCGTGAACCCACACAGGCCCAACCAGAGCAGAGAATGGTCACCACACTATTCTCCCCTTCCCACTCAGGGGATGAGAGCAGCAGCCCTTTCTGAGGAGGGAGGCCGGGATGCTGGTTTGTGGAGAGAGAGGAGAGAGGTACACCTGTTCTCCTGCACCAACACACCCCTATCCCCCCCACCCACACTGGGCAGGAGGCCCAGAGGCCTCCAGATGCAAGCTGGCACCTACCGAATCCATCCCGGTCCTCCCTGCACCCCACCCGCCCCAGAGCTGGGCCCTGACCCCCACCCCACCCCCAGCCTCCTGCCAGAGGCCCAGAGAGTGGTTACCTTCTTGAAGAAGGGGATGCGTTTGCCATGGGGCGGTGGGGTGGTGACACTGCTAACGCTAGTCTTGGCAGAGCCGCTCTGCTCTGCCAGCTCCGCCTCCTCCTCCTCTAAGTCTAGGGGGTCTAGTTCAAAGGCTAAGTTAGTCATCTCGTTACCTGGACGGCGCGGAGAGGCAGGAGAGAGGGAGGAGGGAGGCGAGGTGGGGAGGAGGGAGATGGACATGGAGACGCCAGTACAGAACGCAGGGATGGACGGGGGATGGGGGGGAGAAAAGAGAGAAGAAGAGGTGAATGGAACGGGGCTGGGAGAAATGAACGGGGCGGGGCGGGGAGGCAGGCGGAGAGATGGAGCTACCGAAGAAATGGGAGAGGAGAGATACGAGAGGGTGGGCCCTGACCGCATGCCTGGGGCTGCTCTGGGGCGGTGGGGGCGTGGAGGGGCTTCCACTGACTGTGTCTGGCGGGCTCGTGAGTGGGGTACCCCTTACTCCAGGCAAAGGAGGGTCAGGCAGGAGGGAGACCGCCCCGCCCAGGAGCACCCCCTGCCCTTCCCCGGGGCGGCAGCAGTGGTGGCAGCAGCTCTTACCACTGGCAGGGGGTGTGGGGCGGCGCGTCCCGGTGACCACGTCTCCCAGGCTGGAGCTGGAGTTATCACCTGACTTGCTGCGTGGACAGAGAGGCAGAGGAAGTGGTGAGTCCGGGATGGGAGAGCTGCCCTGGCAGGCAGCACCACAGCCACGCCCACCGCACCCCCTCTCCAGGCCCACAGCTAGGCTGGGGCGGGGCAGCCAGGCACCTGGAGCTGAGGCGGCTCTGGCGGAGCTTCTGCTCCTGCAGCAGACGCAGGCTGTCCAGCTTCACGGGGCTGGGGATGAATCCCACCTCGCAGCCCTCCTTCACCAGCCGCCCGATCCACCAGTCGTTGTTGTACTTCTGCAGGCAACAGAGGCAGGGCGTGTGGGAGAGACCACCAGGGCGACTGCAGGGGCCAGTCGTGGGGAGGCAGCCCTGGTCTCTGTCCGCCCTGCCCAGCTGGTGGTGCCACTGGCTCCCGCTGCTGGGAACATCCCCACTACTCAGGACACTCTGGGATCAGCATCTGCCCAGGCCACGGACCGGCCCTACCCTAGTTCAGCATCCCCATGCTCAGAGTCCTCCTCCTGCCCTAAAAGGGGCTCGTGCTGACCCCAACGTGTCCCTGGCACAATGCTACTCTCCCAACAGGCCTCATCCAATCCCTTCAAGGGCCTGTAAGCGAGGTGTTTCCCCACTCTCCCATTTTAGCAACGAAGCACTAGAGGCTCAGAGAGGTGGCAGAGTAGGTGGAAGGTCACGCAGCACATGGAGCCCAGCCCTGCTATGCTCAGAGAGCTTTTCCCCCCACTGAGTTTCCCCATCCCCATGTGGATGCCAGACACTGCCCACCTCTTTGATGTGCAGGAAGTCCTTGGGCTCAAAGGTGATGGCTACTCCCTGCACGGGCACCTCGTCCCCTGGAGATGGGTTGTAGCCGACGTTTGTCCGCACAGCGAAGGCCACGGGTTTGGTCTAGGGGGTGATCACCAGAGGGGTAAGCCAGTGCAAGACACAGCATCCTGGCCAGGCCGGAAAAGATGGAGGGCTGCTTTATAGGGTAATGAAGACATATACTGAGGAGCCAGAGATGTAGCTCAGGGGCAGAGCACATGTACCACATGTGAGAAGCTCGGGGTTACTTCCTCATTAAGGCAACCACCCCCCCCCCCAAGTATACTAAATAATTTCTATGTTTTTTTTTTGGTATGTATATTAAATTTCACAAGCACTAGGGGCCCAAAAAGTTAAAGGACAGTGGGTAAGGTACTTGCCTTGTGTATGGCTGTCCTGGTTCGATCCCTGGCACCACATCTGGTCCCCTAAGCCCTACCAGGAATTACCCCTGAGACAGAGCCAGAAGTAGCCTCTGGGTTAGGAAGCACAGTGCTAGGGTGGCCCTGGCAGTCCCCAGCCCCAACAGGCCTGAGAAGCACATCCTCAGACCCAAGCTCAGAACTTCCAGTCCAATTGGGTAAGTACTGTGGCGGTGGGGAATAGCTCCTGGGTCCCCTGAGCATCTCTTGGGAGCCCCCTGGACTAATTTCTAAAAATTCAGGCCTTTCAGAGACGAAGGTAGCACTGGACAGTGATAAATACGGGAGTGATACAGCCAGAATGGTACCCTGCAGAGGAATGATGATAAATGATGATGATAATGACAGCAACCACTATTAGTGTGCAAGAGACCATGAAACATGTTTCACTCCCGTTAATTATCATAACATGAAGTTAGATTTTCGTCTTGTTTTGGTTTGGTTTGGTTGGGGGCCCCACCCAATGGTGCTCAGGGCTTACTCCTGGCTCTGCACTCAGGAGTCACTCCCAGCAGATCTCAGGGGACCCTGTAGGATGCCCAGAGATTGAACTCAGACTGGGTCGGCTTCAGGGAAGGCAAATGCCTTCCTCGCTGTGATACTGCTCTGGCCCTGAACTAAGATATTATGGCTATCTGTGGATTCTGCAAGGACAGTACCCATCTGGAAGTGTGGGTCACTTGCCTAAGATCACAGAGCGAGCAGATTAGTCGAGGAAGTGTGGCTCTGAGTAGAGGCCATGTGGCAGCCTATGCTTCCCACACACACGGCTGAGGCCCCAAGGTACTGCAGGAAGTGGCAAGGAGGACTGGCCGGGGTCTGCTGTCCAGGCTCCCTATAGAGTAGGGGAGTGGCAGGAGGGAGCCCCGCCCCACCAGCTCTCTCACCTTGGCCTTCTCCAGCTGCGCTAAGGCCTGGCGCTCCGCCTCCTTCCTTAAGGCTTCCCGGTCCTCCTCCAGGGACACATCAGAGTCTGACGGCCGGCTGGTGTAGGACTCCGCTGAGCCCTGAAAGTGGACAGGCCAGCTCAGGGCCCAGGCTGCCTTGCAAGGCATGGATGGAGTCCCACCAATGCCCGCTGCCTCTAGGCCTAGCCAGCTCGGCGAGCTGCCCCAGGACAAGTGGGGAGTAGCAGGAGAACCACAGGGCTAAGGTGTGCAGCCCCTTGGGGGGAGCATGGTCCCAGGCAGGGTGAGTGTAGCAAGCAGGGAGTCTGAATTCAAGCAGGCCCAAGGACAGCTGCTTGGGGCCCTGGGAGGGCTGGGAACCTGATAGGGTCAGGCCCCGGGGAGGGACGCCAGAGGCCGAGGCTCCCAGGCCACTCCTCCGCCCCTCTCCTGCCCTCAGCGCCAGCAGAGACTCAGCAAGCCCGCAGCCACCCGCTGCCTTTCAGGCTCTCTGCACTCCTGGCCTGGGCAGCCAGCTCGGCACTTCAGGGTCACCCCAACCCTGCCATCTCTTGCTCCAGGCAGGGGAAGACAAAACCCTCCTTCCTCTGCCAGAATTAGGGGAACCCCAAGACTCAAGCTCTCCTAAGAAACAAAGAGAACCCAAGGTCCAAGGGCATGTCGAGCAAGGGTCTGGCCAGAGAGGTGGCTCAGCAGGTGTCCTGGGTTCCAGTTCTGCTACACACACACACACATACACACACACCCCATGAAGAATATGGAGCCAGTCTTTCCCCAGGCTTGGGGATCCGGGCTGGCCAAGGAGACTGCTTCAAAAGTGTGGATGTGCCAGAAAACTGGCTGGGCCCACACGGTCATGGTCCCTCCCACAGCACAATGAACTCCTTTCTGTGTGCAGGCACATGGTGTAGGACACTGCAGACCTACTCAGATGGGAAGACAGAGTCATGAACAGGCTTCTAGCTGCATGCTGGGATTGCAACCCTCAGGGGTCTGGGATCCAGAGGTCTAGGGGTGCGCGTCTGCGCACTGGAGCTGCAGTGCACACATGTGTCAGAGGGGGCACCCACAATGTCTGGGACCCGGAGGGCGTATGCACTTGAGGGAAAAACTCAGGTACCCAAATTTACGTTAGTCTGTGGCGCTGGAACAGTGTAGTGGCTACACGGAGGGGGAGGGGATGGTGTGGGGAATGAGCAGGACTGTGGAGTTGCGGTGGCCACTCTTTCCCGAGGGTATGGAAGGGACCCTGGGGCAGAGGGACCCACTAGCCAGAACAGAGGTCCTATAGAAAAGAGAGAAAAGCAGGGGGCTGGAGAGACACTGGAGAGATCAGGGCGCTTGCCTGCATGGGGCCATCCCAGGTTTGATCCCTGGCACCCCACCTGGTCCCCCCAGCCTTGTCAAGAGTGATCTCTGAGTGCAGAGCTAGGAGTAAGCGCTGAGCACTGTCAAGTGTGGACCAAAAACCAGAAAAAAGAAGAGGGAAGAGAGAGAGAGAAAGAGAGAGAGAGAGAGAGAGAGAGAGAGAGAGAGAGAGAGAGAGAGAGAGAAAACCACGACACAGCTATGGGAGCTGCCCAGCCCTTTTCCAGCCCAAAAATGAAAAGGGGAGAAAAAAGGGAGTAAGCTGGGTGGGGGGGAGGGAGGGTGACTAAGAGACGCCAACAAAAAACATAAAGACGGCAGCGTGCGAACCACCTCATCTGCCTCTTGCCACCCCTCCTGACAGGAGCACTCAGCACCAGGGAGACAGATGCCCAAAGATGCCCAGAAACAGACTTGACCACAAGAGAGAGGCCGGAAGGTAGAGTCACCCCAGCACACACAGGCATACGCACGCAGACATGTCAGAGAGGGGGATGGCAGGGACATAGGGAGAAGGGGAGCCAGGAGACAGTGTGCAGGCCACCCTCCACCAGCCTCCCCAGCCCACTCCAGGTCACCAGCCCAACCTCCCCACCCGAGCTCACCACTACAAGGGTCCGGCTGGGCACCTCCATCCTGGTGCCCTCCATGCCTGGTCCTGCTGGCCTAGGGGTGGCCCAAACTGCCCGTTCCCCCAGGGGCTCAGGTTACAAGCAGAGTTGCTACATGTGCAAACCGCTGGGGTATATTTAGCTCAGAGATGTGGCAAGGCCTGTCCCCCCAGCACTCCCTGCCACCTATGGGGGTCAGAGCTGGAGAGCTGAACGGACGGAGGACTGGACGCTGGGGTCTGACTGCCTGGTAGGCACACCAATGAAACCAAGGTTCTTTTCTGTCAAGGGGGCACCCACTGAGTCCAGATTCTTCCTAGCCCTGGCCCTGGCCCAGTCTGCAACAGATGAGGCGGATTTCCTGTCTGTGTGTGGGTCAGGGCCCCTCAGGGAAGGCCTGGCTCACTGGTGCCAAGTGTGGGAGAGATAAAAATCAGATACACCAGGTAAGGTGCTTGCCTTGCATGTTGCCAACCTGGGTTCAATCCCCAGCATCCTATGTGGTCCCCTAAGCACTTGCCCAGAGTGATTCCTGAGTGCAGAACCAGGAGTAACCCCTAGACACTGCTGTGTATAGTCAAAAAACAAACAAAAAGAGATTTGTACTAGGGGTACTGGAGAGACAGGACAATGAGCAAGGCACTTGCCTTGCACACGGCTGATCCAGGTTCAATCCCCAACATGGTCCCCAAAACACTACCGGGAGTGATTCCTGAGCACAGAGCCAGGAGCACAGAGCCAGGAGTAAGCCCTGAAATCCCCAGGTGTGGTCAAAAAAAAAAAAATCAGTGCAGAGCATCGTGCAATCTGCAGGAATCCTTGGAGCACGTCCCTCTCCTGGCCCCGAGGGGCTCCTCCTCCGCTGACCCTCACAGGCTCTGTCCTCCTGCTCTCCGTGTCCGCCTTCCTTTTCCTTGGAGTCTGACTCCAAGCCTTGCTCTTCCCATTTTGAGAACCAGATTTGCGGAGATGCTCCGTAGTCATAGCAACCACATCCCTCCCGCTGCCTCGCCCTGAGCCTGAGGTGTGTGTTGGGGCGATCTTGGGGGGAGGAGAGGGGAATCGGGGGGCTTGAGGATTGGAACCAAGATGAAATGGCCTCTCTCTCTGTGAGCATAATGACCCCAGAAGGCAATTTGGTGACCCTTCCTCAGCGGGAGTGCAGGGCTCCGGCTTCTCAAAGCCTCACTCGGTCCTCTCCCCCTCTCCCTGCACACAGCTCTCTGCGTGAGAAAGACCAGTCAGGCCCAGAAGCTTCCCTGCCTTCTCCCTCCCCAGCCCTCGAGGGACCCGGAGCGGTCAGGCTTCCGTTCTGCTTGAGCCCTGCCTCTCCCCACCCCAGGCTGTCACACACTCTGGGGGAGGACGTGGAAGCAGACAGCCGGCAGGGGGAGTGGGTGACAGCCCGAAGCCAGGCCAGGCTGTCCCTGAATGAGATGACGCAGGCGGCAGGGGCTGGTGCTGGGGGAGGGGTGGGCGGGGGCAGGGGCTGACGGGAGATGCTGAGAGAGGTCACAGGGTGTCAGGGGAACAGCAGGGCAGGGGAGGTGACCCCGACCCCGAGGTCAGTCCCTGGAGAAAGCCTTGGACCCAGCTCACCGACCCATGCCTGGCAGCAGCCTGCCAGCTCCCAGTTACCTGGCGCACAAAGCTGTTGGAGGTGGTATCTGAGGATGTGCTCCCATCCGACCGTTTGAACCGCCCTTTCCTCTTGCTGTATTTGCCCTGGAGACGCCAGGAAGGGACAAGAGCGGAGTCAAGAAAGGCCCTTTCCCAACCCTCATCCCACCGGGCCGGGTGCTGCAGCCAAGTTGGGGAACAGCATGCTCGGATTTGGACACCCCCTCCCTTGTTCCTGAGATGGTACAGCCCCAAGGGAATGAGAGCCCAGACCATGGCCAAAGGGACTCTAGGAAGCACACCCGGACCCAACCAACCCCCCCAACCCACCCCACCCCACGAAGCCAGAGAGGCTGGGAAGGGGGAGGCGCTGGGAAGCTGGAGGCTCGTTAGGAAGCAAAGCTAATTAAGATGCTGGGCAGGCTGCAGCAGCCTGGGGGGAGGGGAGAGGCTGCCTGCAGTGCTGGGGGGCGGAGAGAAATGGGGGAGAGCTCTCCGTGCCCCCTCAGCTGGAGCAGAGTATGCTGGCAGCACCCACGCGAGGGAAGAGAACTCGCCACCTGGTTCTTCAGGGATGGGGAGGGGAGTGGCTGTTTGCTGCAACTGGAGACCCTGAGCTAATTTCCGGGGTGAGGGGTGGACCAGGGAAGTATATTTGTAAACATCCACCCTCAACTCCCAGGCCAGCCAAGGCCAGGGGCCAGACTGGTCGGCTCTGCGGTCATCTTCTCAGCCCCTTCCTTGGTGGTCACTGCTCCCAAAGGCAGCAAGAGGGGGTTAACCTCCTTGCTGCTCAACCCCCCAGCCACCAATGCCCACACCCAGTTCCCATGGCACCCACTGGGCTACGTCCATCTCCACCTGATGCCCCTGGGCCTGGCCCCCGCAGATCCCTGGGATCCTGGTTTGGGTGGTGTGGCCACAGCTTGACCTCAAAAGCCACTTCCACCCAGGAGCTTCCGGGCCTCCCAGGGGGCCCTTCAGGGCCGCCCAAGGCAAATACACACACTGGCCCTAGGCCAACCTGGAGTAGGGGAGAGGCTGGAGGGTTCAGGCCCTCCAAGCCTGGGCCCAGCCTCCATCCTAGTTTCTTTGCCAAAGAAGACGGTCAAGTCCAAGCAAACAAGGGGGTCCGGTTCCTTAAGCGCGAGGACAGGGAAGGTACCTAGATGGGAGAGGGGGCATGTGGGAACACTCCCTGCTCCCCCAGCCCCTCTCCAGCCACTCAGATCCTTCAAGGATGAGGCTCCACCACTGAGAGACAGCCTCTTTTTCATGCCACCACTCCAGGCTGAGAAAAGGGAGTGGCACCCAGAGGGACAAGGGACAGCTGAAAGGAAGGTCTAGCCAGCTGCAGCCAGGCCTCCAAGGGGCCTGGGGTGGAGGGAGGTATTTTTAGGTCTGACCTGCCCCCTCCACGTGCCCCATCAACCACACTCCCATCCTGGGGCTCTGCAAGGAAAGGGTTAATAAGCGCTCAGCTTTAATTCGGAATTGGAGAAGGAAGAGTCCCAGAGAAATCCCCTCCCAGGACCCCTCAGCCCTTGCTGGTCACTCCAGAGGACCCAAGAATACCCAAGAATACCGCTCCCCCGGTGTAACCTGGGGCTACGGGGAAAAGAGACAGTGGGGGCGGGGCGGCTGATCCCCTCCCCCAGGTAACCAGCTTCTTCTCCCTCCAGGACAGGGAGCTGGCATCCCTCCAACTTTCCAAACTTTGTAGGTGTGCACGTTTTTTTTGGGGGGGGAGATAAGGTGGGAATGGGGGGAGGGGAGCTGGCCTAATACAGGGGCTCAGAGGTAACGGGAACGGGGCCTGGCAGGGGTGAGCCCCCTCGCCAGCCTCAGGGGGGCCGGCGGTGTCTGCGGCTCACCAGGCCGGCTGGCACCGCCCTCTGACCACCGCCTCGCCCATCTCCCCTCCCCAGGGCCACCCCGCCCGGAGCCCCGGAGCGTGCTCTGCGTCGCCCTCTTGGCTCGGGCTCGCTCTCTAGCCTCCTTCCCCCCACCCCCGGGCGCCACCGCCAACACCCCCACTCTCCACCCACTGCAGCCGAGCCCCGAGCAGGAGGGACCCCGACGAAGCGGGGGAGACGACGAGAAGGCTGCCAGGCGGCCCGACCGCCCCCTCCCGGTTCCGCAGCATCGCAGCCCAACTCCCGGCCCAGCGCCCATCCATCACACACACGCAGGGACTGGGGGCGCGGGCGCCCCTCTCCCCTCCGCGCCGGGCCTATAACCCCTTCCTTCCCGGAGCCCCTCGAGCCCACCCCAAGCAGGCGCGCGGGGAGAGGCCCCCGCGCTCGGAGCCCGCCCCCACGCCTCACCTGGGGGCTGGGGTCGAAGACCTCCATAGGGATGTCCTGGGAGGATGGGTACGGGCCCCGGGACATGCTGCTCTTCTGGACCATGGAGAGGAGCCTCCCCTTCGGCCGCCGGCCCGGCCCAGCCGGGCGCCCTCAGCGCGTGAGAGAGGCCGTCGGAACCGAGAACAGCGCCGCGCAGCCGGCAGCAGGTCCAGCCGCCCGGCCCGGCCTTCGGGGGCCCCCTGGCAGCCTTCGCTCCCCGCTCGCGCTCGCGACTCTGCCGCCGCCGCCTCCTCCGCCCCAGAAGACTCAGCATCTCCCCCCGCCCCGCCGCTCCCCGCCCCTCCCGCCGCCGGCCCCGCCCCCGCAGCCCTCGGCCCCGCCCCCGTGCCGCCTGCCCCGCCCTCCGCTTCGCTCGCCCCGCCCCTTGTGGCCGCCCCTCGGCGGCCCCGCCCCCTCAGCCCGCCGGCCCCGCCCCTCGAGGCCCCTCCGCCCTCCTGGGCCAGACAATGACCCGGCAGCTGAAAGCCAGCAACCTCCCTGCCTGTGCCCAGGGAGCTTCACTCTCCGGGCCTGCGGGGAGAAATTTCTCCTGGGGGCTGTGCTTTACCACTGGGTGCCAAGTGTTGATAGAGGGGAAGTGCGGATTGGCCTGGCTGACAAGGCCTCCCGCTCTTCTGTCCCAAATCGCTGTTGCTAGCGGGTCTCCCCATTCCGCTTCCTGCTTCTGCTTGGGCCACCAGAACTTCCCCTGATCCTGACACCCAGCTTTCTCCCCTGTGTGGGTCCACAAAGCTTGAAGCAAACAGAAGGTTTCATCCCCTGCACTGTCCACCAGGAGGGTGTCCAAAGGGAGTTCAAAAGAGTGACAGGAGGGCCAGAATGATAGTGTCTGCTTTGCAGACACCAGCAGATAAGGTGTCTGCTTTGCACGCAGCTGACCCAGGTATAATCGGCCTCTCATACGGTACTTCAGCACCCCCGGGGATAATTTCTGAGTACCGAGACTGGAGTAACCCCTGAGCATTGGCAGGTGTGGGCCAAAAACAAAAACAAAAAGACAAGAACAAGACAAGAACTCCCAGGAGGTGACAGTTAATACCTTTACCTACTCTCTAGGGAATGAAAGAGAAAGAGGAGGGAGAAATGCAGAACCCGGAGAAGAGAGTATGGTAAAAAAGAGAAAAAAAAAGAATCTTGACCTTTGATCCAGAATTGTTTCCCCCTTTCCTCCCACTTTTTTTTTCCTGTTTGGGTCACACACACACACACACACACACACACACACACACACACACACACACCGTGATGCTGAGATTACTACTGGCTCTGCACTCATAAATTACTCCTGGCATTGCTGGGTGGGGAAGCATATGGGATGCCCCGAAAAGAATCAGGTTGGGTCAGCCTCTTGCAAGGTAATTGCCCTTCCCACTTACTATTGCTCTGGCCTCTCCCCCTTCATTCTTGATTTGGGGGACAAATATCCAAGGCCAGGACCCCATCCACTGTTTATAGAGAGAAAAACAGGAATTTTTGGCAATGCGTGTTAGTGCCAGTTTGACTCAGACACTTATTTTTTTATTAATTACATGACCCTACTCGATTTGGAGTCGAGCATCTTCCACCCAGATCCTCCAAATTCCAGTAGGCGGGGGTCACACCCACCACCTGGCCCCCTGGCGCCGTGTAATCCCATCAGCGGCCAAGACTCAGAGACTATAAAATCCAGATCCCGGACGAGAAAAGTGCAGTCTCTGCCCCCGCGCCTGGGTGTTCCTTCCCGGAGTCCCTTGGAGGGGAGCGGGTTGAGCTTTCCTCCCCGCCCCGACCAGGGCTACGGCAGCCGAAGACCTCCAGGACCAGCCACCACCATGCTGAGACCACTCTCCGCACACCTGAAGGTACTGGCAGAGGGACAAAGCCACGCGGGTTCCGGGGCCGAGACCTCCAAGCCTACTCGATTTGGAGTCGAGCATCTTCCACCCAGATCCTCCAAATTCCAGTAGGCGGGGGTCACACCCACCACCTGGCCCCCTGGCGCCGTGTAATCCCATCAGCATTCGCGGCCGCGCGACATCTTATTATCTCATTCCTACTTTGGACAAACTTGCAGGCTATCGAATGTAGCCTGCCCGCAGGGCAGAGTCTGGCAAACTCCCCGTGGCCTACCAAATATGCCAAATACCAGTAACAATGATGGGTCTCATTCTCCTAAAGAGCCGTGAATATAATCTCAGGGCTAGGATGAAAGAGACGTTACTGGGGCCTGCTCGAGGCAATCGACGATTAACAGGATGATGAAATGAAAAAAATGAAATTACATGACCCCAGATAAATGACTCCACCTTTCTGTAGAATGGGGTTGCAAGTACTCTTGTGTCTGTCACTGATGAGGGAAAATGAATGACATTATAAAATGAATTGCTGAACTTACACTGGGGGTAGGAGATTGGGCCATACTTTGCAGTACTCGGCTCTAACTTTTGGCTCTGTACTCAGAGGATCATATGTGGTGCCCAGGGTTGATCAGAGTAAGATAAGTGCCTGGCCCCCTGTACAATCTCTCTCTGGCCTGGATTGCCGGAGTTTCCCAAGATACCTTAGGTGCTATAGAGAGGTCAGTCCTGACAATAGAACCTCTTCCTCCCTACTCCACCCCTTTTACTATTCCACAGAATTGTGATTGATGACAACAGAGATTTGTTGATTTCACGAACTAAAATAACACTAGTCATGAATGTGATCCTAGGTGATTTTCCTCACTGTTCACTTTTGGGGGAGAGAGAGGATGAAGCACGGCAACCTTGTTATTTGGCATGAGAGACTGACATAGGACGGAGAGATGGCTCAGAGGTCTGGAACCCATGCATTACATGCTGGAGGCCCAGGCTTGACTCCCAGAACTGCTTAGTACTAGATGCTTCTAGACCATCTCTAAAAGTAATCCAAGCACAGAGCTAGAAGTAGCCCCCTCCAGCATTGCCAGGTGTGGCTCACCCCCATCTCTCACAAAAAGAGAATCTGACAGAAAAAATATATATATTTTTGCTCTTGTAAAGATTTGGACTTTCAATTTCTGCTCAGCAGTAAAACAAGGATGGCATTAACTGTGGTGTTGTGAGGAAGTGACACAGATGTGAGACCCTTTTTTGTTTTTGCAGAGGTGGGAATCAAATCCGGACCTCACACATATAAGGTAATCTCTACCACTGATCCCTCTTCCCCACCTTTCCTCTTTTTTGAACTTAGTTCTATTTAGTAGCCTGGAATATTCAGAATAGCTGGAGCCAAGCAATGAGTTGAAGCGAGAACTCAATCCTAGGTTTCTTAGACACAAGGATCTTCTTAGTTTTTTTGCAGTGGGTTTTCCAGAGCAGAAGGAAAGCAAAACCATGGATGGCCTACCACTGAAATTTTAGAGGTTTTTTTTTATTCATTCAGACAATGCACTACTTCCCAATATTGTAACTGAAATTCTGTGCCAATTGTGGACTATTGCGTATTTGACTGGTTTTCATCATCAAGGTGTTGAAGATCTTAAAACTTTCCTTGGAAAGTAGCGAACGCTAGCTGTTAGCTCAGGCGATTTTCAAGACAGAAATAGTAGGAGGAATGCATGTTAGGGATTTAGTGGGGCAAAATGTCTCGTGATCTGATTTGCATTTCAGGGGCTACCCGGAGCCTGAGAAAATGAACATAAAGTTGCTTCTGCCTGATATGTACCCTCATCACTTTCTAGCTTCTAATTTCTTCCTCAGCTAAGAGAAGACTCCTCAGGCGGCCATTCTAGCCAAAACTTTCACCCCGCCTGGGCGATGCATCCTGACTTCCGGCTCCCGTTGCTCACGTGACCGGTGCCCTTACCGCGCATGCCGACTAGCCACTCGGACGATACCATTTTGCCGGACCGAAGGGGGCCTATTTTATTCGTTTTTAAAGCTTAAATCCAATTTCCGATATTAGAATTCTATTATCCGGGGTTTTTATAGAGGCTTTAGGTAAGTTCACGGCGGTGGAGGATGAAAGGACCGTAGGGAGTGCGGACGAAAGCGGGGCGGGGGGTTGGGCTCTCCCCCTGGCGGGTAGTGGGAGAGCCGGGACGGGCCAAGCTCTTTCCTTTCGCCGCTGCGGCCGCAGCCATGAGGTAGGCTCCGCGGCTCTCGGCTTCGGCTTCCTCCGGGCGGCGGCTGGGTGGCGGGGCTCGGCATCGCAACCCTGGGTGGGGGGCGTCAGATGGGGGCGACGCTGAAGCTGCAGCTCCCGGGTCTTGGGGTGACTCGGAGCAGGCCTGGTAGTCGAATGGGGGGAGGAAGAGAGCGCGGCCCAGACGTGGCGGCGGCGATCCACGCGGGCCTGGGGAGGAGCCGCGGCCGCCGCAGCTCCGCGCGCCCCGGGGACCCAGCGGCTCCTGGTGCCCGTGTGACGTCCGCGTGGCCTCCTGCCGCCGAAAATGGGGCGATCCTGGCTCTTTGGACGGTTTCACCGTTTGGGGGTTGGCCCAAGAAGCGGCCGAGGCTGCGATGAGATGGGGGAAATGAGCCCAGGGGCCCGAAAGGCCTAAGGAGGGTGCGCGGTGGGGCCTAGTGGGGGCGCGCGCCCGCCGGGACCCCTGCTGGGAGACTCGGCTGGGCCGGGCATGCGCTCATGCCGCTCTCTTGGCCCCAGTATGCTCAGGCTTCAGAAGAGGCTCGCGTCCAGCGTGCTGCGCTGCGGCAAGAAGAAGGTCTGGCTGGACCCCAACGAGACGAATGAAATCGCCAATGCCAACTCGCGTGAGTTCGTGACCCGTGGCCCACCGAGGAACCCTGGCCGCCGCTCCTCGTTCAGAAGGCAGCGACCCAATGAGAGCTTTGGGGGGGGGTCTCTTCCGGGGAGGTGGGAAGGTCCTCGAAATTGGAAGAGACACAGAAATAACGGGGGTTCCGGGAGTTCAGCCGTTGGCCTGGATGATGGAAGAGTAGTTCATGGAGGGACCCGAGCACCATGTTAGAGCAGTGATGGCTGCTTTCTGGGGGTTTTGTTGATAAGTTATGTGAAGCAGGGTAGGAGTCGTGTGGGAAGTGATGAGCTAGGAAGACTGAGGGGCCACAGCTATAGTAGAGATTATAGAGAGCTGTTGACCTGGAGTTAACTATTCTAGGCAGGTAAATATGCCCAGTGGGACTGTGCCAGTATAACTTTCCCACGATTTCTGCCAGCCTTCCTACATGTGTGCCTTTAAGAGTATTATTGTAACTTTTTTATGTAACTTTATTGTATCTTTTATTATGTAGTTGCTTATTTATCTCTTAACTGTGCTCAGTTTGTAAGTTAAAATTTATCATAGATTTGTAGTTGAATAAAAACCATGGTACATGAAGTGTTTGGTGCTGGCCAAGTAGCCTTACATCTTACTTAGTTTACAGGGTTTAAAAACTGGTCCAGGAGCTGTAGCAATAGCACAGCGGGTAGGGCGTTTGCCTTGCACGCAGCCGACCTAGGTTCGGTTCCCAGCATCCCATATGGTCCCCTGAGCACCGCCAGGAATAATTCCTGAGTGCACGAACCAGGAGTAACTCCTGTGCATCACCGGGTGTGACCCAAAGAGCAAAAAAAAAAAAAGGGTCCAGGCCTCTGTAAAGGGGATAAGGAAAACGAACTGTGGAACACATCACAATCACCACTGCAGTTGTCCTAGCTGGGCTAGAGTCTGAGCGGAGCAGAGGAGCGGTGGGTGGATGACGATGGGAAATGGCAGGATGTGCTAAAGAAAGTTTAGTGGTAAGGGATACTCACCTGATCTGCCACAGCCAGGTTCTGAGGACAGACCAAAGGGGTCTGTCAAGAATAGCGAATTCTGTGTAGACTAACTTATACTGAAGTGCACAGGTGAACCTAGGAGAGGGCTTAGGGGCCTGACAAAAGTTTGAGTAAAGAATCTATTAAGATCAGTAAGTGGGACCAGACAGATAGTGCAGCAGGTAGAGTGCTTGCCTTGCATGTAGCTGATTCCAGGTGCATCGTGACATCAAATATGGTCCCCCAATCCCCTCCAGAAATAATCCCTGAATATTGCCATGTGTGACATCCCCCCTAAAAAATTAAGTCAGTGAAGTATTGGGGGTGCGGGAGTTGGAATTAGTTCTGGCAGTGCTTGGGAATCTTATTTGGTGCTGGCGATGAAATGCAAACATCTTAAGTTCTTGTCTCTCTGGTCCCCTCCCCAAAAGTCAGTGAAGGTCTCGATCTGTTAGGTTTGTGCATTGTGTGTGTTTCACAACAAACGTGATTTCTATAGGTGAATTAGATAGCAGCTAGGGTTACGCTGATTACCTAAACGTTTAAAAATTTAAAACCTAGTTAAGATAATTGTTTGCATGCAACTGAAACTTGATTTGATCCCTGGCTCTCCACATATGTTACTCTGAGCATGAATAGGTATGGACCCATAACCGTTTAAGATTTTTTTTTTTTTAATAAATACTCGAGTGTTTCTACCTGGGATGGGCCGCAACCAGAGGTGCTCCGGCTTAAGGAATGGAGTAGGGCTGCTGGGGAATGCCCCTGGTGTCTAGTGTTAGGGTCGTGACTGGTGTTGGTAGCATGCAGCTAACTGACCAGGATCTGTGGTGGTAACAGGTCAGCAGATCCGGAAGCTGATCAAAGATGGGCTGATAATCCGGAAGCCTGTGACTGTCCATTCCCGGGCTCGGTGCCGGAAAAACACACTGGCACGCCGCAAGGGACGGCATATGGGCATAGGTAAGCGCAAAGGTACTGCCAATGCTCGAATGCCAGAGAAGGTGACCTGGATGAGGAGGATGAGGATTCTGCGTCGGCTACTCAGAAGATACCGGGAATCGAAGAAGATTGACCGCCATATGTAAGTGACCATGGACCTCTCTGGTAGCTTTTCCTTTCTCGTGACTGAGCCAGGTTTGTTCCCTGGCACATGTGGTCCTTTAGGCACTGCTGGGAGTGACCCAATCTCCAAACCCTCACCTCAACCCCACTCCACCCCACCACCCAAGAAAAAAACAGACCTTGTAATTAACCTGGGGGTGGTGTAAGCCGTGTATCTTGGGCGTTTGTCTTCCCCATCACTTCTACCCAATCAATGTGGGTGACAGGTTTTTCCTGGCAGCGCTGGCCAAAATGGGGTTGTGAGTGGGTACCAGATTGAGCAGATCCCAGGCCAACTCTGATCCTTCTGTGCTGCAGGTATCACAGCTTGTACCTCAAAGTGAAGGGGAATGTGTTCAAAAACAAGAGAATCCTCATGGAACATATCCACAAGCTGAAGGCAGACAAGGCCCGCAAGAAGCTCCTGGCGTAAGTTACCTTGCACATTTTCCAGTTCCTGCTAGCGATCTTTTGAGAGATTGAACATGCACTTGTCTCTCTAGGTGGTGGGGCTGGAGGTCCCTGGAAGCAGGACCAGCTGTTTATCCCTTCTCATCTATTTTTTTTTCCTTGCTTTAACCAGTGACCAGGCTGAGGCCCGCAGGTCTAAGACTAAGGAAGCTCGCAAGCGCCGTGAAGAACGGCTCCAGGCAAAGAAGGAAGAAATCATCAAGACTCTGTCCAAGGAGGAAGAGACCAAGAAGTAAACAGTACAAAGAACAAGACACCTTTACCTGTCTGTACAGAGGGCCTTCATTGCTATTGATCATTGAATTAAACAAGACTTTGTCTGCAAGTCTCTGCCTGCCTTTGTGCTTCTCCCAATGTGCCTGTTGGTGGGTCTTCCCCAGCTAGAACCAGAACTGAGGACACTGAGGGGGGTGGGTGTACAACCTCTCTCTCCAGGAAGAGGTGGTTTTACCTAAACATTGAGGAGGAAAGGAGCGGCACTTAGAGATGGTCTCGGTCGGGTCAGGTTGATGTAAAAAGTGTTAGAAAACAGTATGCTTCCTCTTCCAAATGTCTTGAGATCTGGGCTTGAAATCTACCTCTTAAAATTCCAGCATGGGGTTGGAGTGGGGATGGTTCAGCTGCCTCCGGTTCTGAACCTCTAAACTTAGATCAAAGTTGCACCACCGCCCACACTATTGGGCTGTAACGCTCGTTTGAGCAGCCCAGTTTTTAAAAACTGCCCCACCAAAGAGGCATGAAGGCTTTTTACAGGCTCAGAAGTTTTACACTTCTAAAGTCCTGGAGAATTCCCTGAGGAATTCCTTTTTCACAATGGAAAGCATGATTGGGGACTCCCACCTGTCCACCTGCTATTGAATCACTCGTCACTTAAGGCAAGGCTTGGGAGCACATCACGAATCACGACCATCCTGTTATTCGTCTCGAGCAGGCCCCAGTAACGTCTCCTTCATCCTAGCCCTGAGATTATATTCAGGCTCTTTAGGAGAATGAGACCCATCATTGTTACTGGTATTTGGCATATTGGTTACGCCACGGGGAGTTTGCTAGACTGCCGTGTGGGCAGGCTACATTCGGTAGCCTGCCAGTTTGTCCAAAGTAGGAATGAGATAAGATGTTGGGCGGCTGCACGGTTCGGGAGCTGGTTTTCATAGTCTCTGAGTCTTGGCCGTTGATGAGATTACACGGCGCCAGGGGGCCAGTTGGTGGGTGTGACCCCCGCCTACTGGAATTTGGAGGATCTGGGTGGAGGATGCTCGGCCCCAATCCGAGTAGGCTTGGAGATCTCGGCCCCGGAACCTGCGTGACTTTGTCCCTCTGCCAGTACCTTCATGTGTGCGGGGAGTGGTCTCAGCATGGTGGTGGCTGATCCTGGAGGTCTTCGGGTCGGGGCGGGGAGGAAAGCTCAACCCACTCCCCTCCAAGGGGCCCCGGCGGGAATAATTGAGACAAAAATAAAATCATTAGGGGCCTGAATGATACTACAGCGGGTAGGGCATATGCCTTTCGCACGGCATCCCATATGCTCCAAGCACTACCAGGAGCAATTTCTAAGCGCGGAGCTAGAATATACAGCAAATGCCCTGCACTCTGCTATTTGGTCCCCTGTGCTATGGCTCTAACCTAGGAAATAGGTTATATTTTTCCCCCTTTGGGGAGTTGGGGCTATGCCCTGGGTTGCTAGTGCTTACTCTGTCTGCACTCAGGGATTACTCCTGACAGGGTAAAGCAAGTATGCCTTTATATACATATAAGTATATGTATATGTATATATACATATACATATGCCTTTATATACATATATACATGTAAACCACTGTATTATCTGAACCTGTGTACAGCAGGTAGGTAGGGCATTTGCCTTGCACGTGGCTAACCCAGGTTCGATTTCTCCATCGCTCTCGGAGAGCACAGCAAGCTACCGAGAGTCCTGCCTGCACGGCAGAGCCTGACTAGTTCCCCGTGGTGTATTTGATATGCCAAAAAACAGTAACACGTCTCACAGTGAAGACGTTACTGGTGCCTGCTCAGTAAATTGAACAGGAGGACAGTGCTGCAGTTTCACCAGGCGCCACATACATCTCTCCAGCACTGCCAGAAGTGATCCCTGAGTGTAGGGCAGCAATGGTACAGCAGGTAGCGTCCCTCGCCTTGCACGTGGCTGGTTAGGTTTGATCCCTGGCATCTCATGGTCCCCCGAGCTCTATCAGGAGTGATGCTTGAGCACAGAAGTAAGCCCTGAGCACTGTTGGGTGTGGCCCCAAAACAAAATCACCATAAGGAGGAACTAAGGGGACTGGAGTGATAGTACAGCCAGTAAGGGTTTACCTTGCACACAGCTGACTGATTTCCAGCATCCCATATGGTCCCCTGAGCACCACCACGAGTGCATGAGCCAGGAGTGACCCAAAAAGCAAAAAAAAGAACTAAGATGGTCACAGGGAATTCAGGGTCCCTGGGCCCTGCTCAGAGTCTGGGCCTAAGCTACCCCCCACCAATCACCTGCTGTTTCCCATCCTGGTACTGCTCTGCTCTCTCACACATACACACACACACACACACACACCCTGCTCTGTTTCCCACCCTGGTACTGCTCTGCTCTCTCTCTCTCTCTCTCTCTCTCTCTCTCTCTCTCTCTCTCTCTCTCTCTCTCACACACACACACACACACACCCTGCTCTGATTCCCGCCCTCGTACTGCTCTGCTCAGGTTTTTGCTGATATACACATGCTCACACACACACACACACACCCCTGCTCTGTTTCCTGCCGTGGAACTGCTCTGTTCAGGTTTGGGTTTTATTTTTTCCTTAAATTTTTATTAGTGAAACACCATGAGGTACAGTTGTAGACTTACGAATTTTTGTGCTTGGGTTTCAGTTATACAACGATCGAATACCCATCCCTCCACCAGTGCCCATTCTCCACCACCACCAGTCCCAGTATCCCTCCCACCCCTCACCCTCCCATCCCCCCCTACTTCTGTGGCAGGGCATTCCCTTTTGTTATCTTTCTCCTTTTGAGTGCTGTGGTTTGCAAAAGAGACATTGAGTGGCAATCTTGTTCGGTCTATAGTCTACTCTCATCACGCATTTCCCATCCTGAGAAGAACCTCCCAACACCCTTTATTTGGTTCTCCCTTCTCTCTATCTGAGCTGCCTTTCCCCCTAGCGTGTGCGGCTCTCCTCAAAACCATGGAGTAATCCTCCTGGTATTTATCTCGGCTATTCTTGGGTGTTAGTCTCCTATTTTGTTACTTTATGTTCCCCAGATGAATGCAATCTTTCTATGTCTGTCCCTTTCTTCCTGACTCATTTCGCTTAGCATGATACTTTCCATGTAGTACCACTTGTATATGAATTTCATGACTTGGAATCCATAAGGTACATTGAAGACAAAGTTGGCAATACCCTCCATGATAGGGGCTGGAGCGATAGCACAGCGGGAAGGGCGTTTACCTTGCACGCAGCCAACGTGGCCGATACAGGTTCAATTCCCAGCATCCCATATGGTCTCCCGAGCACCGCCAGGAGTGATTCCTGAGTGCATGAGCCAGGAGTAACCTCTGAGCATTGCCGGGTGTGACCCAAAAAGAAAAAAAAAACCCTTCATGATATTGAAGCTAATGGTATCTTCAAAGATGTCACGCCACTGGCCAAGCAAGTGAAAACAGAGATAGACAAATGAAGCTTCTTAAACTAAGAAGCTTCTGCACCTCAAAAGAAACAGTGACCAAAATACAAAGACAGTCTACAGAATGGGAAAGGATATTCTCCGAATACACATCTCACAAGGGGTTGATATCAAGGATATACAAAATACTGGTTGAACTCCACAAGAAGAAAACAACCAATCCCATCAAAAAATGGGGCAACGAAATAAATGAACAGAAACTTTCTCAAAGAAGAAATCCGAATGGCTAAAAGGCACATGAGAAAATGCTCTACATCATTAATCATCAGGGAGATGCAGATCAAAACAACATTGAGATATCATTTCACACCAGAGACTGGCCCACATCCAAAAGACCAAAAGCAATCGGAGTTGGCGCAGATGTGGCGAGAAAGAGACTCTCCTTCACTGCTGGTGGGAATGCAGACAACCCTTTTGGAAAACAGTATGGACGATCCTCAAAAAATTAGAAATTGAGCTCCCATTTGACCCAGCAGTACCACTCCTGGGAATATATCCCAGAGAGGCAAAAAAGTATAGTCGAAGTGACATCTGTGCTTGTTTGTTCATTGCAGCACTCTTTACAATAGCTAGAATCTGGAAAAAACCTGAGTGCCGGAGAACAGATGACTGGTTAAAGAAATTTTGGTACATCTACACAATGGAGTACTATGCAGCTGTTAGAAAAGATGAAGTCTGTTCAGGTTTTTACTCAGCACATCTGAAGGCTGACTAAGGAGTAAAGGGCTAGGGTGCAGGGTGGGGGGAACAAAGGGACCCAGTCTTCTAGCTTTGTGGGGGGAGGGGGAACAGGGAGGTTAGGGGACATAATCGGTGATCTGAAGAAGCCTATTTGGTGCCCAGGCTTGTATATTCCTGTACTCTCTCCAGCCCTCCTAAAGAGCCTTACTCTAAAGCTTTCCCACCCATCCACATGCCTGTTTTCACTGATCTCTTCCACCTGGATATGCCCCTCAGCTGCCACTCAATCTAGCCAAATCTCAATTTACTCCTCTCACTCCAGCCCCATTTCCGGAAGCTACAGGCCTGAGTCTTCCCAATGTTTTTGGTTCTAGGGCCACACCCAGTTGTGCTCAAAGCTTGCACCTGCTTAGCACTCAGGGATTTTTGAACCTGGGCTGTCTGAGCGCAAGGCAAGCGCCCTCTCTGCTGTACTATCTCTCAGAGCACTCACTTTAGTGCCTTTTCGGAAGGCAAAAGACTAGTGCATGGGGAAAGCCTCGGCCAAACAGCTTCGAGCAGGAGACTCCTTCTGAGGCCTGGACCAGAGGAGGAAGGCCACTGCTGTGTCTTCCGGCCAGTCACACTGGGAAGATCAGAGGTGACTCAAGCTTGGGAAGTCCCTCAGGCTTCCCTGCCATCTGCTGAGAAAACTTGTTTCCAACCTGAACCAGGAGATGGCGCTGTTCTCTCACTGCAGGTGTAAGAAATCAAAAATTTTTTTCTATTTGATGGTGTTGTGGAGTGTGGATAAAAAAAAAAGGGGGTCCCAGGGTTATAATTTTATCTCTTGGGACATTTTGTGTTTAATTAATTCTTTCTCAATCTCCCCGAAGATTAGAGATCAACACCTTTCACTTTGAATCTTCAACCCCTTTCCAGGGCAGTTAATGGGAAAGAGTCCCCGTGGCAGGCACATATTCTGGATTGCCAAGATTCTGGATTCTGTGAGACTGAAGAGAATATGTGTCCAGGAACTGAAAAAGTAATACAGCAGTAAGGTGCTTGCCCTGCAGTGACTCACCCAGGTTCCAACCCAGGCATCCCACAGGATTCCCCAAATCCCACCAGGAGTGATCCCTGAGCACTGCCATATGTAGCCCCCATCCGAAATTAAAAAAATGGAAAAAGTGAAAGATGAGACAAGGGATCAGAGAACTAGCTCAAAGAGTTGACTGCATGTTTTACACCCTGATTTTTTTTTCTTTTTGGGTCACACCTGCAATGCCCAGGGGTAACTCCTGGCTCTGTACTCAGGAATTACTCCTGGTGGTGCTCAGGGGACCATATGGGACGTCGAGATTGCTCTACCCGCTGTACTATCGTTTTGGCTCCCAGGAACCCTGATTTTGGTCCCCTGGGGAGCACTACAGGGAACAACCCCTCATCCTCACCTACTGAGCATCACTGGGTGTGCCTCCCCCTCCTCCAAAATAGGTGTCCTCTCTCCTCTCTCTGTTTTGGGTCACATCCAGCAGTGTACAAGTCTTACTCCTTACAGCACCCAGGCATCACTCCTGAAAAGACTTGGGGGACGCTATGGGGTGCCAGAGATGGAGCACAGTTCAGCTGCTTGCAGGACAATTGCCTTAACCCCTGTACTCTCTCTGGACCCAGATGTGAGTTTGTTTTGGGGTCACACCAAGAAGTACTCAGGAGGTACTCCTGGCTCTGTGCTCAGGAATCACTCCTGGAGGTACTTGGGGAATCATAAAGGTGTCAGGGATCAAACCCAGGTCTGTTTTGTGCAAGGTAGGTTTGACCTGCTATCCTATCTCTTGGAGCCTCTGTTCCTTGGCTGTGGGACTGGTGAGGGTCACACATCAGGCTCATACAGTGTCTGTTTGGGTGCTCATGTGGCTTGCACTGAGTCGAGGCACAAAGGTTATGGTTGCAGTACTGTGTGTGTGGGCGGGGGAGTCACTGCAGTGCTCCCCAGAAGTCGCACTTTCAGGCCTGCCACCAGGCTGGAGCATGTGCCTGCTGGGCAGCCATACCTACTTTTATGATGTTCAAAGGAGAAGTCACCTGAGTCGCAGGATCACAAAGAGCAGAACTGTGAGGGTGCTTTGCACATGCTGAACCCCAAGGAACTGCAACTTGTGACCATGACCCTAAGGCAGATCGGAGACTTGAACTCGTGGCAGCATGCTTGCAAGGCAGGTGAAGTCCTTGTGTTGCTCCTTGGGGTCCTAACTTTTCACTTTCTAGCCAAGGAAACTGAGGCCCAGAGGAACCAGGGCCCCCACCCCTAGAACTGCGGTACAGGTGCACACAGAACAGGAGGGGTGAGTCAGAGGGGGGAGGGCAGGGGAGGTGCTAGGTACAGCTGCTGTTGTACAGGAGCTAGCAAAGGGTTCTAGAGTTCTCTGTCTCTTGCCCCACGTCTGAGGACAGACACCGCCCCCCCCCCCCCCGACTCCCCATTTGGCAGCTTCCCCAGCCTGATCCAAGCTTTAGAGGGATATGGTACAGAAGAGGGGTGCTCAGTGAGGCTCCTTCTTCTGTGTTCTCGCAACCCACCCTCTGTCCTCTGCCCATTGAGGGGGGTCTCTCCTCTCAAATGTTCCCTCTTTTCTCTCAGGCAGTAAGTGCTGGTTAAGCTGAGGTTGGGGGGCTGGGGGAGATGAAGGGTACTTGGAGGTCAGAGAAAACAGAGCCATGGATGGACTGGCACCTCCTGGGCCTCCTCTGCCCGAGGCCAAGGGTGTTGCGGTCTGCCACCCCCAGGGTGGGTATGGAGGAGGGTGGGGAGCCGGGCCACTGTGGGGGCACCAGCTGTCACAGCCTCCAGGCAGTGAGTGCACTGTCAGGGGTTCAGTCACCCAAGAAAGTGGCTCTGCTCAGCAGCGCAGCAAATGCACTGGGTGGAGGCGGGGGTCCAGGCCAGCTGGTGGCAGACGCCGGGGAGGGTGCAGATGCTTGGCTGCAGTTCTCTCACTGTCCCCAGTCTGTGTGTGGGGGGAGCCTGCATCTCAGGCAGCTATTTCCATTTTGTTGATTGAAGACACAGAGAGACCCTGGAGCTAAGTTAGGGGGGTGCAGGGGTTTGGCATGGGAGCTGAGCTAGGAAGTTAGAGACTGGATTCTGAGGCCGGCTGGACCAGGAATTGGCCTTGAGCCTCCTTATTGGCCTCCTCTGAGCCTCCTACCTAAAAAGGCAAGGTAGGAGCCTAGAGTTGTACAGCCCGTAGGACACTTGCCTTGCATGCAGCAGACCCCAGGTTCAATCACCAGCACCGCAGAGCATCCTCTGAGCACCCCTGGAGTGAAGCCTGAGTGCAGAGCTAGGAGTAAGCCCTGATCACCACTGGGTGTGGTGTGACTCATAAAAAAAATAAAATGCTGGCAGAAAGGGGGTGGTATTTTTAGGAGTACTGGGTAAAGCTTCTTGACTTACATGTGGTCAACCCTGGTTTGATGCCTGCATATAGTGCCTCAAGCACAGAACCAAAAGTGATCCCTAAGCACCACCAGTCCAACGCAAACCCCTGCCACTACTAGGGGCTGGAGTGATAGTACTGCATGTAGGGCATTTGCCTTGCATGCAGTTCATCCCTGACACCGATATGGTTTCCCGAGCACCACCAGGAATAATTCCCCGGTGCAGAGCCAGGAGTAAACCTTGAGAATTGCTGTGTGTGCCCCCCCAAAAACAAACAAACAAAAAGCCAAGGTATAAAAGAGGCAAGGTCAGGCACACGCTCAAAGGGCTGGACGATGGACAATGCTTTACACACAGGATCCTGGGTTCTAGCCCTGCTACTAAATGATCCTCTGGGCTTGCCAGGAATGACCCCTGAGCCATGAGCCTGGCAGTAGTTTTCCTCCCTCAGCACTGTCAGGTGTGGCCTAACAAACAAAATAGAACAAAAAGTGAGAACTGGATAATCAATCTTTTTTTTTTCTTTCTGGGTCACACCCAGCAATGCACAGGGGTTACTCCTGGCTCTGCACTCAGGACTTATTCCTGGTGGTGCTTGGGGGGCCGAAGATCGAACTCGGGTCGGCCGTATGCAAGGCAAACACACTACCCGCTGTGCTATCACTCTAGTCCTGGGATAATTAGTCTTGCCTCAGTTTCTTCCTTCGAGAAAGGGGTACACCACCCCTCCCTTGGGATCCAGGAGAGCCTTAAACCAAATTTAGCTCCTGGCATAGTTCCAGGTTCCCCCTCTTGAAGTGATTTGCCCTCTCAGCTGGGTTTGTGAGCCTTATATCCACTACCACGGGCGAGGGGGGGGGGGAGGGGGTTGTCTAGGAAGGACCTCCTACAAAGCTACAAGACCTACCCCGGATGAGCTTCCCTGGAGTCCTAGGGGACTTTCTAGGACCTTTCCTGGGGAGGGACTCAAGGTATGCTCCCACTTGACCTCCCTTGTTTTGGGGGGCCAGAACCCCTGAGGCTCAGGATGGGGGGGTACCTGCCGTCCCCTCCCCCCACGCTGTGTGTTCTGGCACCCCCCCTGCGCCCGCCTCTCCCTCCCTTGCTGCTCCCCTCTGCCTATAAATAGCCCTGGACGTGATGATGACGCGGGCAGCGGCGGGAGGGGGCAGCGGGAGGGGCAGCCAGCCCGGGGAGCAGGTGGGTGGCGGGCACCGGGGCGGGAGGGGCGCCGCCGGCTCCTCGCTGCCAGTCTCCCGATGACGGGCGTGATTGAGTCATCTCAGGTCCCATCGTCCCAGCCACCGCCACCGCGTTGTTTCTGCGGGCGAGCGCACCGGGGCTGCAGCGGGCGGAGGCTGATCTAGGCGGGGTCAGACACGTGGCGCACCCCTCTCCAGGCGCAGGTCCCAGGTGGCACCCCAGCCGCCCCAACTCCTCCGCGCTCTAGCTCGGGTCCTAATGCGTCATCCCCCCTCCCCCCCACAACTGCGCACCTTGACTGACGGTAGTGGGGTGCAGTAGGACCCTGAAACGCCTGGCCAGCCCCCTCTCCCCCACCCCACTCCTTGCTCCACTCCTTGTCTGGCCCAAGCACACACACCTCAGACAGGCTGAGACCAGAAACATTTAATTAGGAGTCTGGGGGCTCCGCACTCCCCCCGCAGACCCATCATGCAGCCTCATGTACAGTGGGCAAGGGGCCCGCCCCGGGGGTGTTGCTGGGGGGGGGCCTCATGGCAGCAAACAGGGCAGTGTGACTTCTCCCACTGCAGTGTGGGGGAGGGCAAGTGGGGGGGGCAGTGGGCAGGAAGCAGTGTCCCTCCCCCTGGTGAGAGGATGTGCCCAGGATAGGGGTGGCATTGGCTGGCATGATCAGGGCACAAAAAGGAGGCTTTGAGCTTGGGAGGAGAGGCGGGCACCAGAGGGGTCTCCTTCGTGTGTCGGCCTCCCCCAGAGCCCCCCTTCTTTTCCTGGTGGCATAGGAGAATTTCTGCTTTCCTGCGCCCCCTCTTCCTCCCCTGCTCTGTGGCCAGGACACAGCTGATGCAGCCAGAAAGGGGACAGTAACCGGACAGTCCCGAGAGCTGGGGCAGGGCGATGGGAGGTCAGGGCCAGGGACTCCCAGGCAGAAACTGGGGAGCCTTGGTGCCCCCCTCATGGGTCCTGCCTCTAGGGACTCCCAGTCTCCCAACTGTGAAATGGGGCTGCTTGATCGAGCATGGGTCGGTTTTGTGCTCTCTGTGGGGACCGCTCTTGGGTGTCCTTCTGCCATCGACCAGGAGGACTGGTCCTCATGAAGGGCCAGTCGCGGTGAGCCCCACCCCGTCTGCCCAGGTTTCAAGTAATGGGAGCGGGTCCCACAGAACTTTCCTGAGAATTGATGGCTGGGAGGGCTGAGTAGCGCCCCCGCCCCCCCACCCCCCACCCCCCCCCCCGCAGGTGCTGTCCTGTCCAGAGAGACCCCATGCCCCCGAGGTCAGCCACGGGTCACACACATAGACCCAAGCAGGGGTTCTGTGGGGACAGGTGGGCACATGCAAGGGGCACAGGAAGACTCTCGGAAGCAGCAATGGGGGTGTCCCTTGAACACCCCCCAGGGCTGGACTTGGAATGGCCACTGGGCGGGGGTCCCTGAGCCCTGTGGGGTCTCCCTGGAGCTTTCCCACTCCCTCCCATTTTCTCCTCCCCCAATTCCCAGAGGAGTAACCCCCCCAAAATAAAACCTTCCTGCAGGAGAAGGCCCCAGGCCAGGTGAACTCCCTAGATGAGACGCAGATGGGGGAGCCAGGACCCCCTGTCAGGGCCAGGAGCGAGGCTGGGATGTGCAGGAAGGGCATCTGGCCTCCCTGGGCTTCTCTCAGATCTCTGTCAGGGCGTCGGCTGGCACCAGGCCCCGCTTCTTGCCACTGCTCACGCGAATGAAGCCATCAGCGTCCTTGCTCCTGCCCACGCCTACACAGATCTGTGCAGAGACACGCACTGAGGCCAGTCCAGCTGTCCCGCGGGGGTGCCAGGGGCCCACCAGGGGGAGGAGGCCAGGAACCAGGGCTGAGGGCACAAGTACAGCAGCTAGAGGGAGCACTAGCAGGCCCCGGGCCACGGCCCCTCAGCACAGAGGAGGGAACAGGTCAAAGGCCTTGCCCAAGCTTGCAACTAGACAGAGCCAGCTTAGGACTGAGCCTCTGAGGGCCGGAAACGCGACAGTTCCGGCTTTGTGAACCCGACTCATGGCCCTCGAACATCTCCATTTCCAGGGTCCTGAAACGAGCCTCGAGGCTCCTACTCCACTGTCCCTCCTTTCTCCAAGACCCCTCTCTAAGGCAATAAGCCCCTTCCTCTGTAGGACACCCAATTTCCCAGCAGATGGCAGGAGGGCCCTGCCTTGCCCCTGCTTTTTCACACGCCCCCAACTTTCTCCCCCAGCAAGCTCCCCCAGTCCTTCCCCCTTTTCAGGACCCTGTCCCATCTCAGGACCCCCCTCCTCAGGACCTTCTCTTTCTTCAGACCCTCCCTATTCCCCTCCTCTTCGGGGGCCCTCCCCGCCTCAGGGCCTGCCCTCCGCCCTCAGGACCCGCCCCACCTCAAGACCCTCCCCTTCTTGAGAAGACCCTCCTCAGGATCCGCCCTCTCCTTCCCGGCTCCTCAGGACCCGCTCTTCCCCTTCCTTGGTTCCTTCCACTTCTTCAGGACAGCCCCCTTCTCAAGACCCAACCTCCTCTGGGCCCTCCCCCTCCTCCGGGCCCTCCCCCTCCTCAGGGCCCGCCCCCTCCTCAGGATCCGCCCCCTCCTCAGGGACCGCCCCTCCTCAGGGCCCTCCCCTCCTCAGGGCCCTCCCCTCTTCAGGACCCTCCCCCTCCTCAGGGTCCTTCCCTCCTCAGGACCCGCCCCCTCCTCAGGGCCCTCCCCCTTCTCAGGGCCCGCCCCTTCTTCAGGACCCGCCCCCTCCCCTCCGCAGGTCCCTCCCCTCCTCAGGGTCCGCCCCCTCCGCAGGGCCTGCCCCCTCCTCAGGGACCTCCCCTCCTCAGGACCCTCCCCTCCTCAGGGCCCTCCCCTCCTCAGGACTCTCCCCCTTCTCAGGGCCCGTCCCTTTTTCAGGACCCGCCCCCTCCTCAGGGCCCTCCCCCTCCTTGGTACCCTCCACTTTCTCAGGACGGCCCCTCAAGACCCGCCCTCCTCCGGGCCCTCTCCCTTCTCAGGGCCCGCCCCTTCTTTAGGACCCGCCCCCTCCCGGCCTCAGGTTCCTCCCCTCCTCAGGACCCTCCCCTCCTCAGGGCCCGCCCCCTTCTCAGCAAGGCCCGCCCCTCCTCAGGACCCGCCCCCTCAGGGCGCTTCCCCCTTCTCAGGGCCTGCCCCTTCTCAGCAGGGCCCGCCCCTCCTCAGGGCCCTCCCCCTCCTTGGTACCCTCCACTTCCTCAGGACGGCCCCTCCTCAAGACCCGCCCACCTGAGGGCCCGCCCCTCCTCAGGACCCTCCCCCTTCTCAGGGCCCGCCCCTTCTTCAGGGCCCGCCCCTCCTGCCCTCAGGGCCCGCCCTCCGCCAGCTGGTCCCCCTCTCCAGCTCACCTGGTTCTCCTTCAGGCTCATGTAGCCCTGCTCCTTGTTCCCGGAGAAGGGTTGGCAGCAGCGCCAAACACTCTCACCTGGCCTCACTCGCTGCACAAAATTGGCTGGGAAGAAGCCAACCCGGTCGCCAATCTTGCCCTGGGGACGAGGCTGGCAGTGAGCACCGCTCCCCCCTTCCTCCTCGGCTTTCTCTAGACCCAGTCCCCCCTCAGAGCCACTGTCCTCCAGTTGCCCTCCAGATGCCGGGCTCTCAGTGGTTCTTCTGGCTGGGGAGGGCACGAGGTGGGCAGAGGGACACGGCTGCGGCGGGGAGCGAGCTGAAAGGGAGGGTCCAGAACTTGACAGGGCAAAGGGCCGGAGGACGAGGGCTGCTAAGGTGGCTACCAGGGTGCTCCCACTGCCCCCCACCTAGTCACCTTCCACCAGTCCTCGTTAGAGTCGTCCACCAGCATGATCCGGTCTCCAGGCCTGGGGAGGACAGAGCTGGGCAGCACAACGGGCAGGAGGGACCCGTCCTCTGCGTCCTGCTGCCCCGCGCGCCCCCTTAGCTGGGAAGAACGCCCTCCAACACAGGGCCTGGACAGGGCCGGGCACACACATCAGCGGCCACTCTGGGGGGCTCTTAGCCGGAAGTGAGCAGTGAGGAAGAGCTCCGGGGGCTGGGAGGACTAGCCCTGCGGTGGGCTGGGGACTCACTGCAGAGCCAGATCGTTGTTCTCCTGAGGCAGGAACTTGTAGATGGCCACGTAGGAGTACATGGGCCCCACATCCTTCCGCACGGCGGGTTTGGGGGCCTGTGGGGAAGCTCTGGGTGAGTAGGGGGAGCACCCCACGCCCTCACGCTATCTGTCATCCTCCTGTCCTGTGTCCAGTGGGGACGGGGGCCCTGAGTGATTGCTGGAGCACTATCCATTGTCCCTGACAATGGCCCTGCCGCCTGCTGCGCGCACCCTCCCCGGGGTGCTGGGCACTGGGGCACCCGTGAGGGACGGTGAGACCAGCTGCAGCCTGGAGCCACTGTTCCTCGGCGAGCAGGAGTGGGCTTGTGGCCGGACGTTGGGTGCACCCCAAACTCTCCAGGACACCCCCATCTGCACCTGGGAGAGGCCACGCCCCCTCCCCCCGACGCCCGCACGCACAGCCTCACCTGCTGCCCAGGGCTCCTCTCCTCTGGGCCTGACCCTTCGCTCTCCGCAGGGGCTGCGAACACTGGACAGGTCAGGGCGGGTGAGAGGCAGCAGGAGCGGGCCCAGATCTGGGTCCCGGGCCCGCTCTGGCCCTCCCCACTCACCGCTGTCCCCAGGGCCGTCTTCTGAGCTGCGGATGCTGCCTTCGCCGTCCTCTGTCAGCTCATCCCGCTCGCTCTGGGGGCCGGGGGCGTGGTCAGTCCCGACCACGCCCCTCAAGGAGCCCCGTCCCTCCCCGCTGCCCCGCCTACCAGGCTCCTTGTTGGGGACTCAGAGGTGCTGCTGAAGCTGGAGCGGTTCATCAGGGCCAAGGAGGTGCCGTAGCGCAGCGTCTCGTAGACGGGATCCACCTTCCCGCTGGCCCCTGCCGAACAGGCACCGGGGCGGGCACCTCCGCTCAGGTCCGGACCAGAGAGCTGCTTGCCTGCCTCGCTCTTCCCTAAAGCCCGATCTGAGCCTGGCGTCCAACAGGACCGCCCCAGCTCAGGATGCCGGTCCAGGCTTGAGTGCTGTATCTCCCCTTAGCCTGCTGCCCCTCAGCCCCGCGAGAGTTACTCTAGATTAGACGCTTTTTGGTGGAGGGAAGTACACGTGGGTTTGGTAGCTACTCCCAGCACAATGCTTGGGGCCCTCTAGCAAAGCTCAAGGGATCCTGGGGTGCCAGGGATTGAACCCCAGCCTCCAGCATGAAAAGTCTGTGTTCCAGCAATCACTCAGGGCCCCCATCAACCTTCAGCCCTCCCTTTCCCATTCTCCTCAATCACTCCATCACCTAGTCTACCTCAAAAACAGTTTCTAGAACCTGCCCACTTCCCTTTATCTCTAGTGACTAGCCCAGTCTGAGCTACCAAACTCTCTGAGCAACCAAGACAGCTATCTTCTTCCACTCCAGCTCCTCTCATCCCCCTGGGCAGCCAGATACTCTCAGAGTAAAGTCCAAAGAACAAAGCCAGAGTACAGCAGGTGAGGCCTTGCACAGAACTGACCCAGGTTCAACACCCCCCCACCGCAAAAAAAAAAAATAAAAAATAGTAAGTTGGGAGGCAACATCCAACAGTGCCTAGAGCTGTGTGACTCTGTGCTCAGGGATCATTCCTAGTGGGGCTCAGGGGACCAATATGGGGTACCAGAGGTTGAACTGTGTGCAAGTCGAGTGCCTTAACTGCACCAGCCAAATATTTTAAAAGAGAAAAAGGCCTAGAGCAATAGTACAATGGGGAGAGTGCTTGCCTTGCATGCATTGATCCAGGTTCAATCCCTGTCACCCCGTATGATCCCCCAGAGCACCCCCAGGAGTAATCCCTGAGCACAGAGGCAGGACTAAGTCCTGAGCACTGACAGGTGTGGCCCCCAAATAAATAAAAGCAAAGGCCAGACTGGGCCCCAAGGCTTTGCTCGCTCCCCTTGCCCCCTGCTCCCCCTCATAGCACAGCTCCTCACTGGCTGTCTCCTGCAGCCCCAGCCTTGCCACCTTCTCTTGAACTCCCTCCCCATTCTCGCCTTGCCACCCCTGCCCACATATTTTGTTCCTGTCTCTGGAAAACCTTGGCTGGCGGCTCTGGGTGTTGGAGGGTGCTGCTTCTCCTCTATCCCCTCTCTGTGAGGCACCCCCGCCTCGGTGATGGAGGATGAATTTATCTGTTATCTGCTCCTCTCTCATTTCCCTTACCAGCCCATGCATTCCACCTTCTTCCATGCTATCTCCCATGTCTAGCATTGCCTGGCACTTAGGAGGTGCTTAATAAAGTGCTTGTGGAATGAATAAGTGGATGACTGAAAGAACAAAACTCTCTACTGAGACAGAAGCATCCAGTGGGGCCTGGAATCTGTACCTCATTTCTTGTTCGAAGGGCATGTGGGTTTCTTATCCTAGCCCAGGAGGATCAGGGACCTGGGGCGGAGGAAGGGACACTCACCCGTGGGTGGTGACTCTTTGCTGGTGGCACACGCTGGCAGTGGCTCGTGCACCAGGAGTGGGGAACTGAAGTTGCGGCGAAAGGAGGTGGACTGTGGCAGGAAGGATGGAGAGAAAGGGAGTGGTCACAGCCCACCAGAGCATGGTGCTCCCCGAGATGGTGGTCCTGGGGCCACTCAGTGAGCTCTCCCCACTCAGCACTCACCGTCTTGCCTGGGCATTGCTGGTGCGAGAGCTCCTCAGAGCACCAGAGGTGGACACTGACTTTGCATGTCTTACAGCGCAGGCCCTGCTTGGAGTTGCCTAGGGGGAACCGGGTTTGCCAAGGGAGGATGCGCCCATGGGGAGGAGCAAAGGAGGCTGTGCTAGGACTGGGGACAGTGGCAGAGCGTGGGTCACCCTCAGGCCAATCTCTAGGTCTAGTGTCTACCCAGCACACTTTGGGGCATGAGCTGGCACCGAAGCTCGGGATTTTTGGGATCCACATCATCGACCCCCAAACCCTCCTCCAACCCTTCCAGGCACATTTCTCCACTCAGGAGGAGGGGCACAGGTTGAGGCCCGCTCCCCAAACTCCCCCCACCCCAACGTCCACCCTGTCCAGCTCAGGGCCCAGGCACCTACCCACGACGAGCTGGTGGCACAGCTCACAGGGGCTGGCACGCTTGAAGACGTATTCCTGGAAGCTGTGCAGCCTCAGGGGTTTGAGCGGTGCCAGGGGGCGGGGTACTGGGCAAGGGGAGGGTGCCGGGGTGGATAGGCCCCTGTCTGTGGATGCGGTGGGTGGGGAGGGTGGGGGTAACGGGGTGGGGGGCGTCAGCAGCACCTCGGTGGGGCACTTGAGCTCCGAGCCCGAGCGAAGGAAGAAGTTCTCCACACTCTTGCTCCGGAGGATGGTCCTGAGGGACAGGGACCGCTTGAACCGCTGGAGCTAAGTGAGGAAGAGGGGCTGTGAGGGACTGCCGGCTGGTCAGTGGCCATGAGTGGACTAAGGGCTACAGGGGAGAGAAGTATAAAAAAAGTAGCAATCAAGTTCCAGAAGGGGGGCCTCAGTCCAGCGACCAGTCTAGGGGCCAGGCAGTCAGCTTTCCTGAGTTTAGTTCTGGTTAGACAGGCACAGTTAGGAGTGGTGGGGACCGTGGCAAACTAGATGTCCAGGAGTAGCTCCTGGTCTCCTCTAGGAGGGGCTCATTCATATGCTAACCGAATGCTGCCAGCTTTTCCAGTTTTTCAAAACTTTGTTTTTTTGTTTGTTTGTTTTTGCTTTTTGGGTCACACCAGGTGATGCACAGGGGTTATTCCTGGTTCTGCACGAAGGAATTACCCCTGGCAGTGCTCAGAGGACCATATGAGATGCTGGGAATCAAATCCGGGTCGGCCGCTTGCAAGGCAAATGCCCTACCTGCTGAGCTATTGCTCCAGTACCCCCCCTTTTTTTTTAATGACAGGGATCAAGTCAGGAGTTTCACACATGCAAAGCAAAGCTCTAGGGGTCAGAGCAGTACAGTGGGGAGGGTGTTGGCCTTGCACGAGGCTGATAAGTCACATGATATTCCTAGTATGGCATGATCCAATAAGCACTGCCTGGTGCGGCCTCTGTACCAGTCCCCAGCACCACTGCACCCAGGCACTGAATGTCAGGCTGGCATAGGCAGGTAAGGGTAAGTACTGCTGGGAGTGGCTTCAGGGCCCCCTGATATTCCCCCTATCAAAATCTCTCCAGGGCCAGAAAGATAACTGACTGAGGGAGTCCAGGGTTCCATCTTCAACACTGCCTGAACCCTTAGGTACTACTGGGAGTGACCCTGAGCACAGAGTCAGAAGCAGCTGACCTCCCCAGCATTTCTGGGTGTGGCCTCCCAAACGAGAAATATAACAAAACACAAAATTCAAATCTCTCCAGCACATGCCTGGAATTATCTCCTTATCATCCCAGCCCTGCCCCTGTTCTGGCCCAGCACCCCAAATCCAGCCTGCCCTTCTTTCCCACCACCTGCTGGGAGGTGAACACTGACCCACAAGGCCACAGGCTCTTGCCTCTGAACTGCCCGCAGATGTGCTTGTCCTCTCTCTTCTTTCTACCCTCCCTCCTGAGAGGAGCCACTGACCCTGGGGTGGCCAAGCCAATCAAGGCCCCTCAGAAGACAGTTAGTCCCCCCCACACCCCACACCCCTCCAGGGCAGGGACAGTGGCTTCCAGTCCCTGGGGGCAGAGTCCCAGAGCGGGTGCTTTGGGGATGTTTGCTGAGCCCAAGACAAGGGAACGGCTGGAATCCAGAACTTCTCAAGCCCCATGAATTCTGGTCCCCTGATGTATCGCATCTATTGCTCAGTCCCCAGTGAGGGCGGGAAACTTCTTTTCCCCAAATCCTTGGCCGCTATTTTTATTATATTTTGTTGTTGTTGCAGTGCCAGGAACCAAACTCAGGGTCTCACAGACACGAGGCAAATGCTCTCACCCTGAGTTCCTTGCTGGCTCTTCAGACCCTTGCCCCTTTCCTCTCCCGTTGAAAGGTTCTTTCTTGCCCCCCACCCTTGGACCCTTTTGACCAGTGATGGATAAAGGGAACCAAAGGCCTGGCTTCAGGCAGAGACTTGGCCTGTGTTCCCAGCTGGCATGCTGGACCGCCAGCCTGCCAAGTAAATAGAGTGGTGGCCCCTTCAGCCCTCAGGGAGACCAGCAGGCAGCAGGCTGGAGGGGCAGCAGAGAGGGGGAGATGTTTGGGCACCAGGCAGACTCTGGTGTGCCAGCTGGGAGGCCAGAGCCCTGGGCTGCCTGGCACAGAGAGTAGCCCAGCTCCTTCCAAATCCAGCTTACTGGGCAGCACTGTGGGTGTCTGTGTGTGTGAGAGGCAAGGCCCCCAGATGGCCAGGGGGACAATTAATTAGAACCCGAATGTGCTCTAGGGACTGAATGAAGATCTGAGGGCTCTGATCTAGCCAGAAAGGTGAGCAAAATACAGGTCTGGTGCCGAGCGCACAGAGGATACTGGTCCCTTGTCGGGGTATGGACAAAAGGAGGCTGCTGCTTGAAGGAACATCATTTCCTGTCTCAGTCTCAGTTTCCCCATATCTGAGAGAAAGAAGGCAGTTCGAATGCTCTCTAAGCAACATAGTCTCTGGTTTCAAAAAGCAAAAATAGAGTGATAGTACAGTTGATAGGGCTGTTGCCTTGCACGTGGTTGACCTGGGTTCAGTCCCCTGGGTTCATCTCATATGGTCCACTGAGAACCGACAGAAGTAATTCCTGAATGCAGAGCTGGGAGAACCCCAGAGCATTGCCGGGTATGACACCAAACTAAAAACAAAACAAAACAAAAGCAATGATAGAAGACTGAAGAGATAGAACAGCAGGGAACTGGAGCGATAGCACAGCAGGTAAGGCGTTTGCCCTGCACATGGCTGACCCGGGTTCAATTCCCAGTACCCCATATGGTCCCCCGAGCACTGCCATGCACTGCAATTACTGCTCATGCACTGTAATTCCTGAGTGCATGATCCAGGAGTAACCCTTGTGCATCGCCGGGTGTGACCCCCCCAAAAAAGATAGAACAGCAGGTAGAGCATTTGTCTCATATGCAGCTGACCTGAGTTTGGTCTCCTACACCCTGTGTGACTCTTGAGCCCCACCAGGAGTGATCCTTGAGGACTGAACTAAGAGTAAGCCCTGAGTACCACCTGGTGTGGTCCTAAAAGCAAATAAACCAACCAAAAAAAGCAAAAATGCTTTATTAAAAAGCAAAAATGACAAGTATTAAGGTGAGGATGAGGTTCAGCTGTAGAGCACTTGCCTTGCATGGGTGAGGCCCAGGGTTCAGTTTCTGGCACCGTGAAAATAAACAGAAGTCAAGGAGATAGTACAGTCGGGAAGTGGGGGGGAGGGGGTGCTTGCCTTGTATACAGACAATTCTGGTTTGATCTCCAATACCCATTGCAGTCCCCTGAGTTCTGCCAGGAGCGATCCTGGGGTTCAGAGCTGGGAAGAAGCCCTGAGCATTGTCACAAGTCCCCAAACGAAACCAAGAACGGGGCCAGGGATATGCCTCTTTTAAATAATGAAAGAAAGAGAGTGAAACAGCTCAAAAGGCTGGAGCACATGCTTACACGCTTTGTGAATGGGAGCTCTGAGGTGGGCCTTTGGAGTGAGCACCACGCCTGGGAGCAGCCCCAAGCACCATGGGTGTGATCCAAAAAAACCAACTATGAGCATAAACTTTATTCTTATTTTGTGTTTTTGTTTGTTTTGCCAAGCCTGGGATTGAACCCAGAACCACAGGACCACAGAGCCACAGAGCCACAGAGCCCTAAAACAGAAACACATGAATACAACAAGGGGTGGTAGTTGCCAGAACACTGGAGTGGAACCAGTGTGTCCGAACTAAAAAGCATCTCAATCCTGGCAGGACCGTGATTGCCCAGGAGGCAGTCAGGCTCACGGGGAGGTGGGGGAGGGGAATCAGCACGAATCCTCAGCTGGTACGTGGCAGTGCCAGTGGCCTTGGCTGTTGGACTCAGAAAGCTAGGAGCCATCCTCGGCCCTGGCAGGGTCCCTACGTTGTTTGTGGATTTGTCTCCCAGGTCCAGAGAGAAATTTAGGACCAGACGGGATGCTCCAGCCACACGCCCTCCTGACAGTCAGGTTCTGTGACGGCTAGACACCTCTTTCCACCCGAAGCGCCCGTCCCTGGGGACAGTCGCTCCATCTCTGGGCAGCTGCACTCCCGGGCAGTGCTTCCCTATTTAGAAATGTGCTCCCTCCGATTTTTGCGTATTAGTGCATGTTCTTCCAGAAAAAGCTCCTCCCTCTGGGACCCACCAGCTCTTCCAGCAGGTGAAGACATCACCACGTCCCTTCACAAGGCCACCACGATCACAGCCATCCTCATCACTGATTTCAAGCCTCCTTCTTCAGTCTGTGCCCTTTCCTGGTTCCCCGTGGCCTCAGGGCCAAGCACCAACTTGGAGGGTACCAGAAGCCTCTGGAACAGAATGTTCCGCAGCCCCGGGGCAGCCCCAGCTCAGCTCTGCTAGCTTGAGCCGTGGGCCCAGCAGGTCCCCAGAGAGTGGAGGAGCAAGAATGAACGGCACCCACCTTGGGTGGCAGGCAGAAAACAAGGGCCATGGCCAGGGCACCTCTGCCAGATAGCGCAATGCCTGCCCCCCAGAGACATTGGCCTGGCTCAGGTCCAACCTCACTTTAGCTGAATCTATCCTGGCAGGTGGGTCCACTTCTCAAATCTCTCATTCCAGGGAGGACCTAGCCCCATCCCTCCTAGTTATCATTTGGGCCCTCTCTTCTGGGCCCCTTCTCTGACATGGGGACCAAATTGTTATGTATTCTGTCCAGCTGCCCCCCAACCCCTTTTCCTTCCCCCCATTGCAGGGGCTTGTCTGGCCAGCTCCTGAGTGCCCCCACCCCAGGCCTGGTCGCTCACTTCTTTCCCTCACTTCCCGCCAGCTCCGGAAAGGACAGTCGGCAGCTGGTGGTGGGTGGTGGCAGGAGCTGACTCAGATGGCAGAGCTGGCATGGCAGGGTCCTCCCAAGGATGGCACCAAAGTGGGGGGGGAATGGCAGGCCAGAAATGGGGGACAGGGTGGGAATCTGAGAAGGCAATGCTGGCAGGAGGGGGGCAGTCATAGTGTGACTGGTATGACACCCCATTGCAGGATAGGATAGCAGGGCTGGCAAGAAATGCCCTGGAGCCCCAGATGCTGATGAAAAATTGGGAATGTTGGCTTCACCCCTTGATTAACATCAGCACCCCCTTTCCAGCACAACCTTGATCTGATTTGGCAAAGTTCTTCCTCACCCTGACAGTCTGCAGATGAGCGTTGCTGGGACAGGTCAAAATGGTGCTGGTGGAAGGAAGCCAGCAGGTTGAATTCTCAGCCCCTCACTCAAAGGAGAAGTAGAGGGGAGGGGGCCGGGGTACAGCCGTAAGTGACCTTCTGGCTGCACAGAGGGCCCCCCCCGGATCCCTCAGTGGGTACCCAGCTCCCCTGCTCCCCTGTTCTGGGTTTTCTAGGTTCCATGCAGCAGGGCTAGCACTGGAGGGTCTGGGGGGGTGGTAGGCAGGGCAAGCTGCATTGACCCCCTCCCCTCCCCGCAGCTGAGCCAGCTCTGTGGTTTGCTGAGGCAGCACCTCCAGTCTCCTGCAGCTGCCAGCCAAGGAGGGGGCAGAGCCCAGCAGCCAGCCCGGGTGTGGGAAGCCCCCTGGCTTCTGGGAAGCGAGCGCTGGGGGATGAGTGGATAGCCCTCCAGCGAGCATTGAGAGCAGGGTCAAGGGAGCACAGCTGGGGTTCCGCTCCCAGGCCCCCGTTTTGGAAGAAGCTGTTCTGAAGATTCCAAGCAGCATCCTTCCATCCCACACTTGGATTGGGGGTGTGGTGTGGTTGGGGATATCTCAGGGGGGTCTTAACTCTGTGTCCCCAGAGTGCACACTATCCTAAAAGGCAACAAGAGAAAGTCAGGTGTGACTGGACAGTGCACCAAGTCCCTCTGATTTAGAGATGTGGAGCTACCTGGGGTGCCTTAGCTGGACCCCACCCTAGCCCTAGTCATCACTCCCTAGATGACCTTGACCTTGAATGAACTCTGATGGGGGACTATAGGAGGGGTTAAAGCAGACTGAAGTGGAATTATGGGCTCTGGATAGTGTAAAACCGAGTTAGAGCTACCAGGGGGAATCAGAGACCCCCGCCCCATTCCTGGTGCTCCCCTCTGAACAAAGCACCATGGTTTCAGGAGAGAGGAGGGGGTCTGCGGGGTGGGGAGGCTGGGGAACGCTCAGGGAGCTCTAGATTCAGCCCCCTTTTCACTGTCCTGGCCCAGGCCCACTTGGTCAGATGCTTCCAGGCAAATTTCCAGAGGGTCGGCAGCCAGTACCTAGAACTGGGGTGGGGGGTGTCCGAGTAGGGAGCCCAGAGGTTGAGGGTGAGCCCAGGCCTCCTACCAGCGCTGCAGCACGCGGAGTCTGACTCCTCCTGCCTTCACCGGGGAATAATTTATTCATTGCGACTCCCGCAGGAGTAACAATCATACATAATTAGGGTTAATTATGACATTCATTAATTATGATGACTTTTCTCTCTCTTTTTTTTCTTCTTTCCCGCCCGTCCTGCTCCCGGGGTGGGGCCGCTGGTCTTTCTGCTCTGGAGTCTCCAGTTCAGGCTCCCCCACCCCGGTCCCCGCCAGCGATGGCCCGATGGCCCGTGCTGCCGCAGCCCGGAGCGCGGACTCGCCAGCTGCGCACCCCCGGGCCGCGGTCTCGCCCGCCCGGGAGGGGGGAATGCAGGACTGCGGCGGGTCACAGACTCCCGGGGAGCCTCAGACACTTGGCAGAGCCCAGGGACCCCGGGAGGGACACGCGCAGAGACAACACGACAGAGACAAACAGGTTGTAGAGACACAATCGGAGAAGCCAGGCAAAGAGCGATCGCGACCTGGCGGGGCCGCGAGGGTGCGCCCTGCACGCACGCACGGCGCGTGCCCCGGTCGGCACCCGCACCCGCCGCGTCGGGTCCCCCCAGCAAAGCCCGCGGACCAGCTCCCCGGAGGGTCGCGCCCGCGCGGCGGCCCATCACGCGCGCAAGGGCGTGTCGTGCGGGTGCGCTGGGGGCGCCAGGCGGCCACTCGTCACCCACCCACTCTTCCGGGCCGCCCAGCGAGCGTGACCTCCCAGGCACCGGAGCCCCGCGACTGTGACCCCCCGCCCACGGGCAACACGAGCCCACCACGGTGGCCACCGCGTCGGGAGGAGGACGCGCGCGCGCGCCCTAAGGGCTCACCCGGCCGGGGGCCAGGCCATGAGCCCCCCTCCGCCCACGAGTTACCTTGGTTTCCTGGAGGGCAGAGATGGACCCCGGGGGGCTGTGGGTGGACGCGTCATCTGGTTCGTTCTCCTTCTCGCTCATTTCGGTCATGGTGGGGGACACAGGGGCAGAGAGGGTGCGGAGATCCGACGGCTGGCCCGCGGGGGGCAAGGTTGTGGGGTGGCGAGCGTCCCTCCGGGACCCCGAAACCCTCCTCCGAGACTGCCCCCACCCCCAAGAGAAACCCGCCTAGGCACAGGAGCCCCCTCTCCTCCCCGGCACTGGCCGGGAAAGTTCCCGGGTGGGCGGGTGACGGGGAGGAGCCGCGGGAGCCCGACGACCCCCGGGAATGAGGTGCGAGGGTCCGCAGAGGATGCTGCTCCCGGCCAGGGGAGGAGGGAAGCGGGCGCGCGGGGGATGAGCCGCGGGAGGCGGCGGTGTCGGTGTCCGGCCAGCTCCGCCGCGCTCTGCGCCCGCCCCCCACCCCCCGCCCCCTGCCGGCCCGAGCCCGGCACCCGGCGGCCCCTCCGCCCAGTCCTCGCCGCCCAACTTTGATTTAGGAGGTCGCCTGGGCCCGCCCCCTTCCCTCCGCCGCTCCCCCGCGCCGCTATGCAAATCAGCTGCTCGGCCATTGGCTCCCGCGGTGGCTCGGAGGGCCGAAGGGGCGGGGCCTGCGGGGGCTCGCCGGGATGGGGGCGGGGCTTCCGGGTAACTGACAGGCAAAACCAGGAATCGGGGTTTCCATTGCGCGCCCCGGGGGGCTCTACAAGATTGAGGCAGAGCTCATTTGAGCCTGGACCGCGTTGTTGGGGCAAAGAGAAACCCATGGGAGCTGCACCAGGGTAGCCAAGATCAAAGTTGGGACTTCCTCACTGAGAAGGCCTTTGGTGGAGGAAGCATGGGGACCTTCGCGCCCCTTTGGATGGCTCTGTCCTGGAGAGGACGTCTCCGAATGCACACAGCCTTGGACAGGAGGTAGGGGGTGCCTCAAGCTGAGAAGGGAAAGAGCTGTACAGGGAGTCTGGGCTTCAGAAGAAAAGAGGGACACGTCCACCTAAGGTGCCCAGCACCTTGGGCCTGAGACAGCACAAGGGCTTAAGGCACTGCACGTGTCTTGAACGTGTTGCCCTGGTTTGATCCCTGGAATATGGTCCCCTGAGTCCACCAGGAGTGACCCTGAACACAGATCCAGGAAGTGAGACACACCACACACACACACACACACACACACAGTCTCCAGGATCCACCACGAAAGTCTAGATTAGGGGTGGGAGAGGTGTTGGGGCTTCAGGGTGCTCTCTGAGGGTGCCTCTTATTCCTTTTTGAGAGACCACACTGTGGTGCTGGGGGCTACCTCTAGCAATGCTCAGGGGTCACTCTGCTCAGAGGACCACACAGTGCAGGGAATCAAACCAGGGTCTCTTCCATAAACCCTTGGCTCCGCTTCCCAGGTCCAGATGTACCCCTCCTAGTACACGCCACTTCCCGCTGTTTCCCCAAGTCTTTCCCTCTCTCTTCCCCTCCTTATGGTGTTTTGTTTTGTTTTGGTCACACCCAGCAGCGCTCATTGGCTTACTCCTGTGCTCAGGGATCACTCATGTTGAGCTCAGGGATATGGGGTGCAAGGGATTGAACCTGGGTCAATTGTGTGCAAGGTAAGTGCTCTTCTGGCTGTTCTATTGCTCTCCCAGATCCTCCTGACCCTCAAAAAGTCTAACTTCATATCTTGACCAAGAGAAGGAAGGTGGAGGGAGATTGAGGGATTGAGAGAATTTTTTGAGCGTGGAGGGAGAGACCACTGGCTCTAAGTCTTTCTCCTGGCCTCCTCTACAGTGAGCCTGAGATGGGGCTGGGATGTCTCAGGATCTTCTTCCTGAGGGCAGCAGTAGGGGCAGCCTCGGGGGCTGGTCAGAAGGGAAGAAGATCCTCAGCCTTCAGGAAGCTTGCTGTGGTCCAGTACAGCTTCAGGTCACTGAGTGGGAGGCAGAGACCTATTAGCTGTTGGCACCGGTAGGTCAAGGGCAGAGGTGAGAGTTGAAACTTGGGGGGCTTGGCCCCTCCCCTACAACCCCCACAGGCCCTTTCTGGGTGCAAGCTTTCCTGAAAGTCTTTCCTCAAACCTGGCTCTGTCCTCAAACTCAGGTCTCCAAGTCTCTTCATGCTTGGCCTCCACCTCCTCCTTGTCCAGTCCAGATGAGTGCAACCTCCTACTCCCCCTGCAAGTCAGTCTTAGGGGTCCTTGGAGCATCCTGAGGCCAGGAATTGGCATCCTCCATCTCTACTGGGCTGGAGCTGACTTAGGCTTCTGTGTTTGGGAAACTCCTGAGAGGATGCATCTTTTTATCCTCTCCCCAGGCTCCCCCCACCCCCACCACACCTCCCCAACACCCCTCCAAAAACAACAACAACAACAACAACACAAAACCCAATTGAGCTTCCGGAGCAATGCCTGTACTCAGTAATTGATGGAGCGACCTTGGGCAGGTAAGGAGACCTTTCCAAGTCTTGCTGCCCTCATCAGCAGAATGGCCATAGGGCAGCCTCATCTCACTGGGGGAGCACAGTCCTGCAGCCCTCCCTTCTGTGCAGAGGCAGGGTTCTTCTTTCCCTCCTTTCTGCAGGGAGCCACATACCTTTCCCTTGCCTGAGCTTCCCCTGAGGCCTGGAGAGGGAGCAGTTTCCTCCCTTCATGTCCCTCTGCTTGTCCACGAGGACTGGGAGATTCAGATGAGATGTGGGGAAGAATTCCCAGCGGATGTAGTGGTACCAGCACCCCAGGGAAGCCAGAGAAGTTGAGGACCCAGTGGGGAGGCAGGGGCCAGAGCCTGTGACCTCTGGCTCTCCTTCCCGGCCTGCAGCCTTTCCTGGATGAGTCTGAGTCAGTGGCTCAGCTGACATCTCCCGCTGCAGTGGCTCAGGGACCAGGCAGGAGCAGCCTCTGGCTTCAGGGCAGGAGAAGCACGACCCTACCTTCAATTCAGAGCACTAAAGGTGGGGCACAGAGCAAGGGGCAAGAGGCTACAAGGTGGAGGCAGAATCTCGGAGGGCTCTGCAGGTGGGCAGCCGTGGGTGGTGAGGTGGCTGCTGGGAGGCCGGGAGCCAGGGACTCGCCGACTTCACATCTGAGTGGGCACACCATCCAGCTTCTTTAGAGACCCTGATCTTCCGCCTGACTGGCCTGTCCCTTCCTGCTCCGTGACCAGTGCAGAGACCTGCTGTCTGCTAAGGTCCTCCTTTTTCAGCTGGTGTCATTGGACCAGTCCAGGTTAAAGTGGGGTTTGGGATTAAAATAGGGGCACTAGGGCCAGAGAGATAGTAGAGTGGGTAGGGCGCTTCCCTTGCATGTGACTGACTGACTCAGGTTCAGTCCCTGGCACCACTTATGGTCCCCTAAGCCCTGGCAGGTGTGACCTAAAAACAAGCAAACAAAAATAGGGCACAAATAGTCTAGGTCTTGCTGTTCTGTTATAGGCGGTTTGGAGTCACACCTCATGATGCTCAGGGGCCACTCCTAGCTCTGTGCTCAAGGAGTCACTTCTGGAGGTGTTCAGGGGACCGTACGATATCTGGGATCAAACTAGGGTTGGCCGTGTGCAAGACAAGCACCTTAATCCCTGCACTGTCTCTCTGACCCTCTTAGGTTCCACTGAGGATCAAGTGAGTTGCCATGTAAATAACTAGAAGATTAAACAGGTAACATATATTATTGTTTATTATTATTACTAAATCTTCTGTGGTGTGTGTGTGTGTGTGTGTGTGTGTGTGTGTGTGTGTGTGTGTTGCTGGGAACTGAGCCCAGGGCCTTACATGAACAAAACAAGTACCCTACTACTGAGCCGTATTCCCAGCCCTAGTGACTTATTTTTTCAGATTCTTGGTTTTGGTCTTAGGTTTCTGGCAAGTAAATTAAAAAAAAATAAACATTTTTATTATATAAAAATATTCATTTATTTATTCATTTATTCTTTAATTTGGGGGGTTCACACATGGGGATGCTTAAGAGGTACTACTCCCAGCTCAGTGTTTGGGGGTCACTTTCTGGGGGATCATGGAATGTCAGGGGTTGACCCCAAAGTATGTATGTCTCACCCAATTGTGCCACCTCTCTGGACTTAGCCCTAATGATTCTCCCTTTCTCCTTTTTTTTTTCTTTTTGGGTCACACCCAGCGATGCACAGGGGTTACTCCTGGCTCATGCACTCAGGAATTACTCCTGGCGGTACTTGGGGGACCATATGGGATTCTGGGAATCGAACTCTGGTCAGCCGCATGCAAGGCAAATGCCCTACCTGCTGTGCTATTGCTCCAGCCCCTCCCTTTCTCCTTTTTAAATGAAGGAGAAATTGATTGAAATTGATCTTTTCTTTTCTTTCTTTCTTTTTTTTTTTTAGCTTTTTGGGTCACACTTGGCAATGTTCAGGGGTTACTCCTGTCTCTGCACTCAGGAATTCTTCCTGTTGGTGCTCGGGGGACCATATGGGATGCTGGGAATTGAACCTGGGTCAACCACGTGCAAGGCAAACGCCCTACCCACTGTGCTATCCCTCCAGCCCCTCTTTATCTGTGTAGGGGGGCACACCCAATGATGCTCCAGGGTTACTCCTGACTGTGCACTCAGGACTCACTCCTGGCGGTGCTCAGGGGGACCATATGGGAAGCTGAAAATCAAACCCAGATTGGCTACATGCAAGACAAGTGCTCTCCCTGATATGCTATTTCTCTCGCCCATGATTTTCCTTTCTTTCTTTCTTTCTTTCTTTCTTTCTTTCTTTCTTTCCTTCCTTCCTTCCTCCCTCCCTCCCTCCCTCCCTTCCTTCCTCCCTCCCTCTCTCCCTCCCTCCTTCCTTCCTTCCTTTCTTTTTTTTTTTAATAGTGCACTGCACTGCACTGCACTGTTGTCCCATTGTTCATCGATTTGCTCAAGCAGGCACCAGTAACGTCTCCATTGTGAGACTTGTTACTGTTTTTTTGCATATTGAATGCGCCATGGGTAACTTGCCAGGCTTTGCAATAGCACAGCATGTAGGGCGTTTGCCTTGCATGCAGGCGGGATACTCTCGGTAACTTGCTGGGCTCTCTAAGAGGGGCAGAGGAATCTAACCTGGGTCGGCCGCGTGCACCCTATTTTTATGTAAGAAATATTATTTATTTATCCATTGAAGAAATATTTTTATTTTTTATTCAAGGAAATAGGTACTCAAGAGAGAACACAGGCTTCTCCAGAGTGGAGAAAAGCAAGCCAGCAAAGAGACATATTAAAGGGAGAACACGGACTTGAAGAGCAAGCTGCTTTTCTTTCTTTCTTTTTCGGGAATACCAGACTCAGTGGTACTCGGGAGTTACTCCTGGTTTTGTGCTCAGGGATCATTCCTCGCAGGACTTGGGGGACCATATGGGCTGCCAGGGATTGAATCCAGGTAAGATGCATGCAAGGCAAGTGCCTTGTCTGCTGGCTGTGCTATCTCTCCAGCCCTGGTACCATGATTCTTTTTTTTGGGGGGGGGGTCACACCAGATGATGCTCAGGGGTTACTCCTGGTTCTGCACTCAG